TCTTAGTTAAACTATTTCAGAGAGCATCCCAAGACATTCTTCGACATCTAAATATATGAAGTTATGTCAAGGACGATTAAACTCAATTGTCCCCAAACAGAATTACAAAGGACAATCGTTTTTGACTTTCCTTCTTTTTCTCTCGTCTCAAAGAGATTTTTTATATCGTGCGAGTGCGAACAAAATACGGAAAAAGATTTTATGGTTGTTTGTAATGTTGGTAACAAGTCTTTAGAGCTTCTAACAGTAGTGCCGAGTATATATAGAACACAAAGGAAAGAAGAAGAGATACAAAAAAAAAAAGACTTTTGTAATTTATACTTTGTAATATTGCTAGAAAGATTGAATACAGCAATTATGGCTCCAACTTTGCAAGGCGAGTGGATCAAGGTAGTTAATTAATTAATGATTTTATTTATTTAATATGAAAATTTTGAAGTAATTAATATATATTCCATAATACATCAACTATTTTTTTTTTTTTTAAGAATTCATCAACTAATGTTAAATAAAGTTGATAAACTAATATGTTGAATTCTTCTTCAACAAATATGAAATCTTTGAAGTAATATGTTCAATAATTCGTTAACAAAGAGGTTGATAAATTAGTATATGATAGATCATACAATTTCCCAATTAGTATGATAGATCATACATTTCTTAATTTTTGATATTAATAGTTGTACGAAATTGAGCACTCGTACGAAATTGAGCACTCGTAAGAATTAACACACTCAATTTCGTACGAGTGCTCAAGATAACAACCCATTCCGATTCCAAATGGGTACGGGATCTTGATTCCTCCGCAGTTCCTAAGACAATAGCTGGAAACAGTGAGATCTGCAGAATCAAGGATCAATAAAAGTAGCAGAAAGAGGAGACTCAAAAGAGAACAACTAGTATTAGAACTCATTTTATGATATGCTCAAGATATTTTTCTTTGGTAAAATGCATACGGGTATTGTAAGGTATGCCCTATTTTATAAGGAAAAGTTGCGTTTACTTGGAGACAGCAGCAAGTCTTTGTCTTTGAATTTTCTTTGTAAGGGAAAGTTGCGTTTACTTGGAAACAGCAGCAAGTCTTCATCTATGAATTTTCTTTTGTTCGTTATCTTACCACTTTCTCAATAATGAAAAAATAGAAAAAAATTGCTAGAGATCTTTAATTGAAAGATAATCGCATCTTTTCTAATTTAATATATTTAACTATATTTAACAGTAACATCTCACGTAATCTAACTGAAAATTAGTGCGTAAAAGAATTTTCAATTTTTTTATTTCACCGAGTTCCTACAAAAAAATATCATGATTGAGCAAAAATTAATAAAGTCATTATATTGAAAAAAAAAAAAGTAGTAGAGCCACAAAGCTATAAATACGTTGGTTAAAATAAAGAAAGAATCTTACTTTTTCATTTGCATCAAAACTCTGTCCAAGTTCTGTTTCCCAATTGAAAACCGTTCAGAATCAAAAATTAATTTAGAAGCACGTTGGAAACGCGACAGAGTCTAGCCTCGTAAATATAAATATATATGGTATTTTTGTAACTTAATAAAATGTAGTTAATTAAAGGAATATAAGTCAGTTATTTTTATTTCCAAATAACTAAAGGTACCCTAGAAAGCCAGAATTCAAGAAAAATACTAATTTTTGTTGTTTTTAAACATTTTTTATATGACTTTCATGTTTGGTATTTTATCACACAGAAATAGACTACACTAAGCTTTTATTCCAAAAGTATCGTCACTATATTTGTTTTGTTCCAAAAAATACCACTACAAATCCTTTTAGTCCAAAAATACCACAAACACTAAAATTGATTTTCAAGGGTTTATAATTTAAAAAAGCTTTGTTTGGTTTTACTATTTTGGTTTTAGGGTTTAGGGTATAATTTACTTTCGAAAGTTTTAAGTTTAGTTTTAGTTTTGTAGTATTTTCGGAAAAAGTATGTTTTAGTGATATTTTTGACATAAAAAAACTAATAATGGTAAAACTCAATTAAGTGGTATTTTTAGAATTTTCCTACATTTTGTTAAAATATTATATATATATATATATATGTATGAATATACATTTCCAAAACATACCGTTTCATATATATATATATTTAAACCACTTCTGAGTCTCCTAATGTTTTGACCAAAACATAAATTTTAAAATATTATATATATGTATGAACATATTACTTAAAATTTATAAAAAAAAAACATAAATTAGGTTAAAAAAAACTCTAAAAATATGTGAGGAATTTGACCAAAACATAAAGAAATATAAAAATATTATTAAATTTTAAGAGTTTAAACATAAATTTATAATTTTAAGAAGGTCAAAACAGAAAAGATAATAAAAATATAATAAAACTTAAAGGACAATAAAACAATTTCAGAATTTTAGGGGGGTCAGCTGACCCCCTTTAAGCCTTACTAGGTCCGTCCTTGTATATATATAGAACGCAAAGGAAAGAAGAAGAGATAAAAAAAAAAAAAAAAAAGGACTTTTGTAATTTATACTTTGTAATATTGCTAGAAAGATTGAATAGAGCAATTATGGCTCCAACTTTGCAAGGCGAGTGGATCAAGGTAGTTAATTAATTAATGATTCTATTTATTTAATATGAAAGTTTTGAAGTAATTAATATATGTTCCATAATTCATCAACTTTTTTTGACAAAAAAAAAAAAAATGTCACTGTGCATAACCCGCGTTAATTATATCTTTTTTAATAGTCATCATCATAATTAATTTTCTCTTAGTGGATCTACTACTTTTTCTCAAATAAATATTTTACTGATTTTTTTCAATCATGGTATCTTTTGTAATAATTAGTTGAAATAAAAAAGTTGAAATTTCTTGTACGCACTTATTTCAGTTAGATCGCAAACTATTTTGCAAAGAAACGGAAACTGGTACGTGGAACCAAAACATTAGGAGACTCAGAAGCGGTTTAAATATATATATGAAACGGTATGTTTTGGAAATGTATATTCATATATATATATATATATATATATATAATATTTTAACAAAATGTAGATAACAAAGGAAAATTCTAAAAATACCACTTAATTGAGTTTTACCATTATTAGTTTTTTTATGTCAAAAATATCACTAAAACATACTTTTTCCGAAAATACCACAAAACTAAAATTAAACTTTAAACTTTCAAAAGTAAACTTTATTTATTTGCTCAAACTAAAATATTTTAGATTTTCATTTAATTAAAGTATTTATAATATAAATTTTAAATGTTTTATTTATTTATTTCCATACTATTCAAATTCTAATTTATAAGTGTTTTGTAAGAAAATAGAATTTAATTTGAGAAACAATTGTTGGTGATGGCACAAAACGTAAAACATACTAAAAAAGTCATTTTAATACAATAATATTATTTAAAAAATAGACATTCAAATATCTTAAAATTATCTTAATTTAATGGGCATAATTATAGATTTCACGTAGTTTTAGAATAGTTATACTATTAATCCGTTTAGTTATGGAAAATTTGTTAATTAAATTGATTTTTGTATTAGAATATTCCCCTATATTTCCGAATATATATATAGAATATTCCCCTATATTTCCGAATATATATATATATATATATATGAAATATTAGTTTTGATTGTGTCAATGGAATATACTACTTTCAAATTATTATGTAACTTTTTACGATTTTTTTTTTGTTAACTTTTTGAATGCAATTATCTTAATGGCATTCTATGTAATATTCTACAACTTAAAAGTTTTTTATTTTTTAGTGATTCCCAATTAATAGTATAGATTTCATAACTTTTGATATAAAAAAAAAATTTCACCGTGCATAGCCCGCGTTAATTATATCTTTTTTAATAGTCATCATCATAATTAATTATCTGTTAGTGGATCTACTACTTTTTCTCAAATAAATATTTTATTGATTTTTTTCAATCATGGTATCTTTTATAATAATGAGTTGAAATAAAAAAATTTGAAATTTCTTGTACGCACTTATTTCAGTTAGATCGCAAACTATTTTCCAAGGAAACGGAAACCGGTACATGGAAACAAAACATTAGGAGACTCAGAAGCGGTTTAAATATATATATGAAACGGTATGTTTTGGAAATATATATTCATACATATATATATATATATATAATATTTTAACAAAATGTAGATAACACAGGAAAATTCTAAAAATACCACTTAATTGAGTTTTACCATTATTAGTTTTTTTTATGTCAAAAATATCACTAAAACATATTTTTTCCGAAAATACCACAAAACTAAAACTAAACTTTAAACTTTCAAAAGTAAATTATACCCTAAACCCTAAACCAAAATACTAAAACCAAACAAAGCTTTTTTAAATTATAAACCCTTGAAAATCAATTTTAGTGTTTGTGGTATTTTTGGACTAACAGGATTTGTAGTGGTATTTTTTGGAACAAAACAAATATAGTGACGATACTTTTGGAATAAAAGCTTAGTGTAGTCTATTTCTCTGTGATAAAGTACCAAACATGAAAGTCATATAAAAAATGTTTAAAAACAACAAAAATTAGTATTTTTCTTGAATTCTAGCTTTCTAGGTTACCTTTAGTTATTTGGAAATAAAAATAACTGACTTATATTCCTTAAATTAACTACATTTTATTAAGTTACAAAAATACCATATATATTTATATTTACGAGGCTAGACTCTGTCGCGTTTCCAACATGCTTCTAAATTAATTTTTGATTCTGAACGGTTTTCAATTGGAAACAGAACTTGGACAGAGTTTTGATGCAAATGAAAAAGTAAGATTCTTTCTTCATTTTAACCATCGTATTTATATCTTTGTGGCTCTACTACTTTTTTTTTTTCAAAATAATGACTTTATTAATTTTTGATCAATCATGATATTTTTTCGTAGGAACTAGGTGAAATAAAAAAATTGAAAATTCTTTTACGCACTAATTTTCAGTTAGATTACGTGAGATGTTACTGTTAAATATAGTTAAATATATTAAATTAGAAAAGATGCGATTATCTTTCAATTAAAGATCTCTAGCAATTTTTTTCTATTTTTTCATTATTGAGAAAGTGGTAAGATAACGAACAAAAGAAAATTCATAGATGAAGACTTGCTGCTGTTTCCAAGTAAACGCAACTTTCCCTTACAAAGAAAATTCAAAGACAAAGACTTGCTGCTGTCTCCAAGTAAACGCAACTTTTCCTTATAAAATAGGGCATACCTTACAATACCCGTATGCATTTTACCAAGAAAAAAATCTTGAGCATATCATAAAATGAGCTCTAATACTAGTTGTTCTCTTTTGAGTCTCCTCTTTCTGCTACTTTTATTGATCCTTGATTCTGCAGATCTCACTGTTTCCAGCTATTGTCTTAGGAACTGCGGAGGAATCAAGATCCCGTACCCATTTGGAATCGGAATGGGTTGCTATCTTGAGCACTCGTACGAAATTGAGTGTGTTAATTCTTCCTCTATTCCAGGGAAGTTGGTCCCTTTTCTTTCCGCAATTGGCAAGGAAGTTGTGGATATCTCTTTTCCACAAGTGTTACCCTCAAGTAATTATGTTGGCTTGGAAGAGGGGTCAGTTCGTATAAAAAACAAAATAACTTCAAAGGGGTGCTCAAGCGACGGAGAAGAGCATGTGTCACTTTTGAATTTGACCGGTACTCCTTTTTACGTTAGCCGTAATAATATATTGATAGCGTCCGGTTGCAACAACATGGCATCATTGACGAATGTCGAACCAATTTTGGTGGGATGCAAGTCTAGCTGCAGCGCAACAAACCGTACAGCCTCAAAAGATTATCTTGCAGAACTCAGTTGTGATAAGTTTTGCTCCCGTACCAATGAAACAATCTTCAATCAAAAAGGATGCAATGGGTTTCAATGCTGCGAGGCAAACATGCCTACTCAGATTCAACAGATTGTTGGTGTGAGAATTGATAGCACCACAACAACCGGAGGGTGCAAAGTTGCCTTCTTAACAGACGAGGAATACTCTTTTTTAAATGGTTCTGATCCGAAACGACTTCATGCTAAAGGAACATCAACCGTTGAGCTAGGATGGTTCATCCATACTTCGAATCGTTCGTATGTAGATTCTTTAGGATGCCAAAGTTATGAAACTATGTCTAGGCTTAAAAGGGAAGGCTATAATGCTTATGAAAGTACTTTTGGAATAAGTTGTTTTTGCGACTATAATGCTTATCTAAGCTATGCAAGATGCTCATGCAATGACGGTTACCAAGGCAACCCATACCTTCAAGGAGGAGGCGGATGCAAAGGTGAGAAATTGTGTTTATAGTTTCATAAAAACTGTGATAAGAGTAAACATATATATAGGATCATCGTTTGACTACAATTTCTTTATATTTTGAAAAGCAGATGTTAATGAATGTCTAGAAAAGGACTATGATGGAAATTACAAATGTATGGGAGGGACGTGTGTCGATTTGCAGGGACACTATGAATGTGAGTACAAAAAACATCGGCCACTCGCTATAGGTATGTCGTGCAAATTTCTTTCGACATTTATATTACTGTATTATCTATCCAAGAAGTAAGAAAAGTATGTAGGTTTTCATTTTTCTTTTGTCGGTTTGCAGGGTTTGGTTCGAGTTTTGGCTCATTGATTTTTATTGTTGGAATATACTGGTTATACAAATTTATGAGAAAGCAAAAGAGGTTAAAGCAAAAGAAGAAGTTCTTCAAGCGTAATGGGGGTCTATTGTTGCAACAACAATTGACTGCAACAGAAGGCAACGTCGAGAAGACAAAAGTGTTCACTTCGAGAGAGTTGGAAAAAGCTACTGAAAACTTTAACTTAAATAGAATACTTGGTCAGGGTGGTCAAGGTACTGTGTACAAAGGAATGCTTGGCGATGGTAGAATTGTAGCAGTGAAGAAGTCCAAAGTTGTGGATGAAGATAAGTTGGAAGAGTTCATCAATGAGGTTGTCATTCTTTCGCAGATAAACCACAGAAACATTGTGAAACTCTTGGGCTGTTGTCTTGAGACAGATGTCCCAGTTCTTGTCTACGAGTTTATTCCTAATGGTAACCTTTTTGAACATCTTCATGATGAGTTGGAGGATTACACGATGACTACTTGGGAAGTGCGCCTCCGCATTGCTGTAGATATTGCAGAAGCTCTTTCTTACTTGCACTCGGCTGCATCCTCTCCAATCTATCACAGAGACGTCAAGTCTACAAACATAATGCTGGATGAAAAATATCGAGCCAAAGTATCTGATTTTGGAACTTCAAGATCAGTAACGGTGGATCACACCCACTTGACAACAGTAGTTTCAGGTACGGTGGGGTATGTGGATCCAGAGTACTTTCAGTCGAGCCAATTCACAGATAAAAGTGATGTCTATAGCTTTGGAGTGGTGCTCGTGGAGCTCATTACGGGTGAAAAATCAATTTCTTTTCTGCGATCTCAAGAAAACAGGACACTTGCAACTTATTTCATTTTTGCAATGAAACATAATACACTCTTTGACATCATCGACCCGCGAATTAGAGATGGCTGCAAGTTGAATCAAGTGACTGCAGCTGCAAAAATTGCAAGGAAATGTTTGAATCTGAAGGGAAGAAAGCGACCAAGCATGAGAGAAGTATCCATGGAGTTAGAGAAGATTCGTTCATCTTCTGGAGATATGCAGCCAGATGAGTATGTTAGCGAAAATGAGGAAGAAAGAGAGGAAGGAGTCGTGGAAGTTAATATAGAGGTAGAATCGTGGAACGATGTGGCTGTTACTGCTCCAACGTATCAATGCAACAATGCGGCATCATCTTCATTGTGGTCGGATGTTGAACCATTGTTTCCTCTTCAGACACTATAATACTCAAATATAATCTCATGTGTTTGGTTTCACATTCGATTTTTGGGTTTGTGTGTGAGAAGATATTTCTATTAAAGGTAAAATAGGAAAGCCATGTCGCAGATGTAATGTATGATATCTAAACATGATTTCTATCGATTGATTTAGCTAAATTGGGTTACGGCGTCCACTTTATAATCTCATGTGTTTGTCTATGTGAAAATGTTTACTAGTTTAAATGTCAAGACTTTTTGTTTTGTTGTCTTGTTGTTTTGTTTAAAAGCAACGAGTTTTTAGATATACGTGGAAACATTTGGTGTATTTATGTAAAAAGAGACGAACTTTTAAAGAGACGAACTTTTAAAAGAGCAAAACTAAAAAAAGTAAAAAAACAAAACATAAAATAAACAACATGCTGACAAATTATTAAAGCATTTTCTTATTTTGGCCAAACAAGAAACAAATGACCCCCCCTAGACAAATCCGGGTAATACGGCGGGTGTTGGAGAGGTTCTGTAATGCGTCGGGACAAAAAGTGAGCTTGGAGAAATCAAAAATTTTCTTCTCGGAGAATGTGTCTCGAGATTTGGGAAATTTGATTAGTGGCGAGAGTGGGATTAAGTCGACAAAAGATTTGGGAAGATATTTAGGGATGCCTATTCTTCAGAAAAGAATTAATAAAGAGACATTTGGTGGTATTTTGGAAAGGATGTCTTCTAGACTAGCAGGTTGGAAAGGCCGTATGTTGAGTTTGGCAGGTCGCATCACTCTTACAAAGTCGGTGCTTTCCTCGATACCGGTCCACTCAATGAGTACTATTAAGCTCCCAGCTTCGACTATAAACAAGTTGGATAAGATTTCGAGAGATTTCTTGTGGGGTAGCAGCCCGACGGAGAGGAAGCTGCATTTGGTGTCATGGAAAACCGTATGGTTACCTAAAAGGGAGGGTGGTTTAGGTATCCGCACGGCTGGTGAAATGAATAAAGCGTTGGTTGCTAAGTTGGGATGGAGGACTCTGAATGATAAGTCTAGTCTTTTGGTGAGAGTGGTCAGGAGTAAATATAAAGTCGGGGAAACAAAAGATCACACATGGACTAAGGTTAAGAGTAACTGGTCTTCCACATGGAGAAGTGTGGGAATTAGACTTCGAGAAGTGGTGCACAAGGGACACAGTTGGGTGGTTGGTGATGGTCAGACTATAAGATTCTGGACAGACAAATGGTTGATGGCGAGGCCGCTGGTGGATACAATCACAACGGAATTACCTGTGGAGTATTTGACGTGGACAGCAAGGGATTTATGGAGAAACGGGTCTGGCTGGGATCTGAATAAGATTGTGCCTTATGTGTCACATAATCGGCGGCTGGAGATGGCAGCAGTTGTGTTGGACACGGTCACAAGAGCCAAAGATAGGCTGTCTTGGGGAGAGACGGCAGATGGTAAGTTCACAGTAAGGTCAGCTTATCGTTTGTTAACTCGAGATGACACACCAAAGCAAGATATGGCCAAGTTTTATGACAAAATCTGGGGTGTCATTGCTCCAGAGAGAGTACGTGTATTCCTTTGGTTAGTTGGTCAGCAGGTGATCATGACAAACAAGGAGCAATACAGAAGACACTTGTGTGATACCAAGATTTGCTCTGTGTGTAAGAGTGGAGTTGAATCAATTATACATGTGCTTCGTGACTGCCAAGCAATGGTGGGGATTTGGGTTCGTATTGTACCAAGAAACAAGAGGCGGGACTTTTTTAATACATCCTTACTTGAGTGGATGTATGACAATTTGAATGGCGGAGGTAATGAGGAGTGTGGGTCATGGCCAACAATGTTTGCGGTAGCAGTTTGGTGGGCCTGGAAATGGAGGTGTGGTAACGTGTTTGGAGAAAACGGGTTATGGAAGGATAGAGTACGGTTTATCAAGGAACTAACCACGGAGATATTGGCTGTTCAAGGGAGAAGCATGGAAGTGGTACAAAGGCCGGGTCGAGTTGAGAAACAAATCAAATGGACTAAACCTCCGTCGGGCTGGTTCAAGTTAAATACTGACGGGGCATCTCAGGGAAACCCGGGTTTGGCTGCGGCTGGGGGAGTGCTACGAAATGAAGCCGGCGAATGGTGTGGTGGATTTGCACTAAATATAGGGCGGTGCTCGGCGCCTATTGCGGAACTTTGGGGAGTGTATTATGGATTGTTCATAGCTTGGGAGAGGGGTATTACAAGACTGGAGTTGGAGATTGATTCAGAAATGGTGGTAGAGTTTCTGAAATCCGGGATAGGGGGTTCGCACCCGCTGTCATTCCTAGTACGATTGTGCTACGGCTTTCTTTCGAAGGACTGGATAGTCCGAATCTCACATGTGTATAGGGAGGCTAACCGTCTCGCCGACGGGTTAGCGAACTATGCGTTTAGTTTGCCTTTAGGCTTTCATGCTTTTCATTCTGTTCCATCGGTTGTTGATGAGTTCATACAAGACAATATGTTTGGTCCTCCTCGTCTTAGACGAGTGATGGTGTAATTGTTTCTTCTTTATTAATAAAACCCGGGAGGATTACTCCCGGTTGCCCACCAAAAAAAACAAGAAACAAATGATAGATAAAAGGGATTATATCGTATAAGTGAATAACCGAAACAAACGATAACATCACATAGAGAAAGATCACGAATACTCATACAAAACAAAACAAACAAAGAAAAGTTAAACAAGAAACCAATCTTATAAAAAACTATTAGATTATAAAAACCAGGAAAACTAACTTATGAAGAGATACATAAATCTCATGTGAGAACATATATGAACCTTGTAAGCGATACCAAATTGCTCTAGATGCTGCAAGCAACGAGAACTTCAACACACATTTCCCTGAAGATTTTATAGCTTTGATTGAGAACTTACTCTAAGAAACGGTACGAAGAACACAGAATTCGATAGAAAGAAGCTAGCAGGCACGATCACATGCAACCAATTTGCGGAGGTTAATGCTAAGATCAATTTGGTTCACAGTCTACTTGTGGGTAAGAAAGCGGTTCATTTTACCGAAGAGGTTGAGACGATCGAACAAGAGGAAAAATCTACGGAAGGAGTTAACTATGTGAATGGCACAAAATTTCAGACGGAAACCGAATTGAGAGTTGACGGAAACCTTAAATGCGCCAGTCCATGCCTCATTCGCACGTTGTTGTACATGTAATGCCACTGAAGCAGCGTCACCCCCCAACTCCTCCATTTATACTAATATCCAAACGAATCTGCAAACTCACAAGTTAATCCTATAAACTGACTGACTCAAGAATCTCTCCAGATATCTATATATACAACCATGTACACAGTTTTAGTAGTTCCTCTATTTCTAATGGCAATCCAGCTAACAACAATTAACTATTTAGTTGCGTACCAATATATTCATATATGGATAAATTTCCCAATTGTTATGAATGAGTAGGAATTTCAAAAAAAAAAAAAAAGAATTAATAGTATGATAGATCATACAATTTCTTAATTTTTTTTATTAATAGGTTGATAAATTAGTTACGTATTTTAATGACATTGTGTATCCTGTTAAATAGTCAGTTTATTTAATTGACTTTGTAAGTGTTTTCTTTAGCCAAAATCTAAAGTATAAGGTATTTATATTGCAAATTCCATCGCTATAAATATGATAAACCCTCGAATGCATGTGATTGTCATTGCATAACAACCTGGACGTTGCGTTAGGTCTTAAACGAGGATCACGTCGCTTGTATGAAATCGATGAATCTGAAGTTTTTTTTCCTTTTGATTTTAGAAAACATGAATGGGTAGTTTTTAAGTTCATTTGGTTATTTGGATAGTTCTCATAAGTTATTTAGCATAACTATATATACAGTGGCCAACCTAGGAATAAATTTTAGGGAGGTCAAAATATAATTTAAATAATTAATAATTTTTTTCTAAGAAAAACTAAAGACATCTTTGTTTTTTTTTCTTAAAAAAAAAAAACATAAATTTGGTTCAGTAGTTATAGGTGAAGCAAACAATAAGGCTAAAAATATGTGAGGAATTGGACCAAAACATAAAGAAATATAAAAATATTATTAAATTTGAAGAGTTTAAACATAAATTTATAATTTTAAGAAGGTCAAAACAGAAAAAATAATAAAAAATATATAATAAAACTTAAAGGATTATAAAACAATTTCAGAATTTTAGGTAGCCTTGCTAGGTCCGTTCTTGTATATATAATATAGAACGCAAATGAAAGAAGAAGAGATACAAAAAAAAAAACAGACTTTTTGTTATAATACATCATATTGGACTTATAACCGGACCCAATAAGCCCATCAGGGTTATTCATTATGTATTGTATTCCGATGTACTTCTATATATTCTATTGAGAATCAATAAAATAATTAGTTCTACAAGACATTATCAGCACGAGTTTGCTCTTAACAACCCTAATCCTAAAAGTCGCAAAACACTGTTCATTAGGTACTGTTCATCGGTATTGTTCATCGACACTGTTCTTTAGGTAATGTTCATCGGTATTGTTCATCGACACTGTTCATCAGTACTGTTTGTCGGCACTGTTCATCCTAGCGTGAGTTACCGAGGTCTTAAGCTCCCGGTTCAATCCGTTCAACCCCAATTGGTGAAAGGTAAAAACGAAACCTTAAAAGCTTAAAGACCAAAAAAAAAAATCGAACTTGAACCTAATGCAAAGCGAAATCTTAAAAACGGATAATGATTGATTAAGTGGTTGCTTTTGCTTGTATGATTCGATTGCTTGACTCGTTTAAGTTGTTAGAAAAGTTATTGCTTAAACCTAACTCTCAAACTCGAAAACACTTAGCCATGGCTGAAACCTTAAAACCTAAATCAAATCAAATCCGAAATCCCTAAAATATAAATCGATTGATTGAGGTTGTTTAGGTTGTTTAGATTGATTATTTCTATGATTGATTGCATGCATAAATTGATAGAAATCAAAACCTAAAATCGCATGAACCCTAAAAACGTTTTTGCGTTTGAAAACCGCAAAATTCAAATCGTTTTCCTCAAAGAGAAACGAAAACCCTAATGCGTTTTTTCAAACGTTTTCAACCGCATGTCTACAATCGCGAATTCAAATCGTTCTCATCATCGAAACATAAACCCTAAAACCGATTAAACCTAGTGGCTCAACCACTTACTTTTGTAAAATCGCGGCTCAACCGCTTCTATGTCCAAAACCGCAATTTTCGTGTATCCCCTAAACCGGAAATCATTCTCGGTTAACTCCTAAACCCGAATATCAATTCGGTTCATCGGTTAAACCGGTTATCAATTAAAACATATATTAACTTGGTTCATCATTTAAACCGACTCAAAATCAATTTACTTTTGGTTAACTAATAAACCGGATCTCAACCCCGTTAACATAAATTTAAACAAAAAAAAAAAAAAACCAAATATCCCTAAACCGGAATCTAATATTCTGGTTCAACTTTAAACGATTAAACCGAACTTATGTTCTGTATAACCAAAAAAAAACCGTATCCTTAAAATTTACGATTCCCGAGAAAGTTTCCTAAAAATAGAAAGTTTTCCGAAAGAGAAACTTTCCTCATTTAGAAAGTTTCCCAAATTAGAAACTTTCCTCAAATAGCAAATGACCCGGAATGAAAACTTTCCTAAAAATAGAAAGTTTCCCGAAATAGAAACTTTCCTCATTTAGAAAGTTTCCCAAATTAGAAACTTTCCTCAAATATAAAGTTTCCTCTAATTTTAACAAACCCCTAATGAAATCAATTTCATGTTTTCAGATGTCAAACATTCAGAAAGTCGAGTTCGAGGCCCTCAAGGTCTCCGGTGAAAACTATCTCGAATGGGCCCTGGACACCAGGATTTTCCTCAACTCAAAGGGACTGGGTGAGTGTATCAAAGCGGATAACACCGCATCTGATAAAGACCGGTCCTAGGCGATATTTCATATCCGCCATCATTTGGCCGCGAGCCTCAAACAGCAATATCTCACTCTTGAGAACCCACTCGAACTTTGGGTGGCCCTGAAAAAACGGTATGATCACCAGAAAACGGTACTCTTGCCACAAGCCAAGTTTGACTGGAAGGAACTCCGGTTCCAAGATTACAAATCTGTGGATGACTACAACTCCGAACTCTTTCGGATAGTTTCAATCATGAAACTATGTGGTGAAGAGGTGTCTGATAATGATCTCCTCGAGAAAACATTATCCACCTTCCATACCCAAAACATTGTGCTTCAGCAGCAATTTCGTGCAATGAAACATACATTGTACGAAGATTTGTTATCTTGTTTGCTCTTGGCCGAGGAAAACAACGAGCTGTTAATGAGGAACAGTGCCCAGAGGCCCCCGAGATCGGCTTCAGTACCAGATTCCCGCAAAGAATCCTACAATGTCCAGCGAGACAGATCCTCATATCGTAGCTGTGGACATGGGAATGGACGTGGAAAGCGTGGACGCGGAAATGGACGTGGCAACCGACATAACCTCGGTTATGGTTCCGGTAAGGGCCGTGGTATCTCTAAACCAAACCGCCCTGCCCACCCAACCAATCAGTCTGCCTGCACCAGATGTGGAATGTTCAATCACTGGACAAAGAACTGTCGTACTTCCAAGTTTCATTTCGATTTGTATCAGAAACATGGGAAAGCACCTGCTGAAGCTAACATGGCCCAGCAAGTTGATGCTGACGACACCACCACCGAGCCGACCGATCCCATGGACTACGAGATCTCAGATCTCCTCGATTGATTCTATCATCTGAACACTTGCTTATTTTGATTTTGTTTTTTTTTGTATTTTGGGGATTTGTTTTATTTTTCATTTGCTATTTATTTTCAGACATTTTGATATTTTATTAATTTATGAATTTTATGATTTATTCAATTTTAAATCATACCTCTTGTTTAATTGAAGATATGTACAATCAAATGGATATCATAGTGGTGGATAGTGGATCCAGCCACACTATCCTCAAAGACAAGAGTTATTTCATAAATTAAATCATGCAAACCGCGAATATTAGCACAATAGCGGATATCTCGAACTTAATAGAAGGCCAAGGCCAGGCCCATGTGTTGTTATCAAACGGCACACATATGGACATTCCAGATGCATTATACTCACCCAGCTCAAAAAGAAACCTTTTAAGTTTTAAAGATATCAGACTTAATGGTTTCCACATAGAAACCCAGGGTGAAGGGAACAAAGAATCCCTACTGATCACTAAGATCACACTTGGCCATAAACAAGTCCTCGAGACTATACCCGCATTATCTACTGGCCTTTACTATGCTAAGGTCAGTATGATTGAGGCTAATAATGCTCTCAAAGCCCGGTTCCAAGACTACACTATTTGGCACGACCGGCTTGGTCATTCCGGTACAACCATGATGCGTAAATTATTCCAAAGTTCTCAAGGACACACCCTTCGAGAAAACCGAGTCTTCCCTCAGCACCTCACGTGCACAGCTGGCTCCCAAGGGAAGTTGATCCGGAATCGATTATGAGGAGACCCGGAATCGATTATGAGGAGATTTATTCTCCGGTGGTGGATGCAACTACTTTTCGATTCCTCATAAGTCTGGCCATAAGAGAAAATCTAGATTTGCGATTAATGGATGTTGTCACCGCATATCTCTATGGGCCCCTGGACAATGAAATATACATGAGATTACCAGATGGCATAGAGCTTAAAGATAAGCATGCATCTCGAGATCAGTACTGCATCAGGCTGAACAAATCCTTGTATGGACTGAAACAAAGTGGACGTATGTGGTATAACCGGTTAAGTGAATATCTCATCAGAGAAGGCTACAAAAACGATCCCATCAGTCCATGCATTTTCATCAAGAAATACTCAAACAAAGGATTTATAATCATAGCAGTTTACGTGGATGATCTAAATATCCTCGGAACATCTGGTGAAATCTCCCAAACAGTCGACTGCTTGAAAGCAGAATTCGAAATGAAAGACCTAGGTAAAACTAAATTCTGTTTGGGTTTACAACTTGAGTACGTCAAAGGAGGAATCCTTTTGCATCAAGCGGCTTATACTGAAAAAGTACTCAAGCGATTCAACATGGACCAGGCCCACCCATTGACCAGCCCAATGGTTGTTCGGAGCCTAGGATTGGACAGTGATCCACTCGGTCCCAAGAAGGACGATGAAGAAATTCTCGGTCCAGAAAAGCCATACCTCAGTGCTGTAGGAGCGTTAATGTACCTGGCTAGTCACACTAGACTAGACATTTGCTTTGCCGTAAACCTCCTAGCTCGCTTTAGCTCATGTCCAACTCAGAGGCACTGGAACGGTATCAAACACTCCTTAGATACCTTCAAGGTACTAAAGACTTAGGACTGTTTTACACTAACCACAACAAGGATGGACTAGTTGGCTTTGCTGATGCAGGATATCTATCAGATCCGCACACTGCCAAGTCTCAAACTGGTTATGTGTTCACGCATGGAGGAACAACTATCTCTTGGAGATCGATGAAGCAGACAATCACTACCACTTCATCAAACCATGCAGAACTTTTGGCCATTCACGAAGCCAGCAGAGAATGTGTTTGGCTACGATCCATGACTCAGCACATCCGGTCAGATTGTGGTATGGACGAAGACAAGGAGCCTACGGTGTTGTATGAAGACAATGCGGCATGTATCGCTCAACTGAAGGAAGGTTATATCAAAGGAGATCGGACGAAGCACATCCTACCGAAATTCTTCTCAACCTCGGATTGGCCGAAGGATGGTACGATCAGCGTTCAACAGGTCCGATCAAGCGAGAACTCCGTCGACCTTTTCACCAAATCATTGCCCGCTTCAACACTCTGGAAGCTCATCCAACAAATAGGAATGCGTAAACTTAGAGATCTACAGTGATGCTCTAATCAGGGGGAGTAATGCGTGTTGTACTCTTTTTCCTTCACCATGGTTTTTCCCACTGGGTTTTTCTGGTAAGGTTTTAATGAGGCAACATTCCCCAGCGCATTATCGAGATCCCGATTGACCATCAGGACCGGTTACTTTGTCCAAGGGGGAGTGTTATAATACATCATATTGGACTTATAACCGGACCCAATAAGCCCATCAGTTATTCATTATGTATTGTATTCCGATGTACTTCTATATATTCCCTTGAGGATCAATAAAATAATTAGTTCTACAACACTTTTGTAATTTTTACTTTGTAATATTGCTAGAAAGATTGAATACAGCAATTATGGCTCCGACTTTGCAAGGCGAGTGGATCAAGGTAATTAATTAATTAATGATTCTATTTATTTAATATGAAACTTTTGAAGTATAATTAATATATGTTCCATAATTCATCAACTTTTTTTTTTGTTAAAGAATTCATGAACTAATGTTGAATAAAGTTGATAAACTAATATGTTGAATTCTTCTTCAACAAATATGAAGTCTTTGAAGTAATATGTTCCGTAATTCGTTAACAAAGAGAATGATATGTTCCATAACGCAATATCAAGATAATTATGCAAATTAAAGAAACAGATGTATCATCGTGGTGATTTACTTTTGATTTTGAATTGGCGAAACAGATGGAGCAGAAAGGTGGAAAAGGACCAGGACCAAGATGTTCACATGGCATAGCCATGGTCGGAGACAAGCTCTACAGTTTCGGTGGCGAGTTAATACCAAACATGCACATCGACAAAGACCTTTACGTCTTTGACTTCAACACTCACACTTGGTCAATTGCTCCGGCTAATGGAGACCCCCCTCGCATCAGCTGCTTAGGTGTCCGCATGGTGGCCGTAGGAACTAAGCTCTATATCTTTGGAGGCCGTGATGCGAAGCGCGCTTTCAACGACTTTTACTCGTATGACACTGTGCAAAAAGAGTGGACGTTCTTGACAAAGCTTGATGAGGAGGGAGGACCGGAGGCTCGTACTTTCCATTCGATGACTTCAGATGAAAACCACGTATATGTTTTTGGTGGGGTAAGCAAAGGCGGGTTGCAGACAACCCCGAAGCGGTTCAGAACGATAGAGGCCTATAATATCGCTGATGGGGGATGGGTTCAGCTACCGGATCCTGGAGAAAACTTCGAGAAAAGAGGAGGAGCAGGATTTGCTGTGGTGCAAGGGAAGATTTGGGTGGTTTACGGGTTCGCAACTTCGATTATTCCCGGAGGAAAAAATGACTACGAGTCTAATGCTATACAATACTTTGATCCGGCTTCCGGAAAATGGACCCAAGTAAAGACAACAGGAGCAAAACCTTCTGCGAGGAGCGTGTTTGCGCATGCGGTAGTCGGAAAATATATAATAATATTTGGAGGTGAGGTTTGGCCAGACCTAAAGGGACATTTAGCTCCAGGGACGTTGTCTAATGAGGGTTACGTGTTGGACACTGAAACACTGGTGTGGGATAAGTTGGCAGAAGGAGGTGAACCAGCGATGCCACTAGGTTGGACGTCCTACACCACTGCAACCGTCTATGGAAAGAAAGGCCTCCTCATGCATGGAAAGCTGCCGACCAACGAGCGAACTGGTGATCTCTACTTCTACGCGGTCAATTCAGCTTAATGCGTGTCAATGTTGGTTTTGTGTGTGTGGCTCGTCATTCGTCAAGTATTATCATCCAATAATGTGCCAGTTTATTGTTGGCCCTTTTATTACAAATTATATCTGTAGTACTGTGTTTTAAGTTTGTTGTCATTGAAATAATTACTAAAAAAAGCGTTTTGATATTAAAATATTGAGATACATGTGTATATCACATCACATGTATTTTAGGAACAAATAAGTGTTGACAAAAAAAAATATGGTCAAAAAACAATTGTGATTTCCAACTCAAGAAATATTAAACAGGAGTTGGATGCGTTTTTCTGCAACCTCCTGACACTAATCATAGAAACCGATTTTGTACTGTTTTATGACGTTTTTAATCTTTAGTTAAAGCTGTTGATTGATTTTCAATATGTTACGTCCATGACAAGGTAAACAATACAACACACATCTTTTTTTTTTAATCTAACACACATCTCCATATTTAAGGCATATACTTAAAATGATATTAAGGATCTTGGAGTTTTGGAATTCTTACTCTTGACAATAAAGTCTCAGGAAGACAAGATGACAACGTAAGTCATGTCCTTGAATTCTTTTTTGATTTTGGGTTACTCGGAGCTTAACCAACTAACTCATAAATTCATTATTGTAGAGGGTTATATTCTTTCTGATGACAAGCTCGACCACTGATCCTATTTGAGAAAATCCTAGACCAGGCAAGCGGTATGATATAGCATCCCAAGACATTATTCAGAGAGCTAAATATGAAGCTGTGTCGAGGACCGTCAAACGTACTAATATTTTGACCTCGACTCGTCTGTAGATTATACGAGTAAGACCAAGGAATCACAGTCACAAATTACAAATCAAATCTAAAGGAAGAAACGGAAACGATGTTTGTAAAACTGATCCTATTTGAGAAAATCCGAGACCAGGCCGGCGGTAAGATATAGCATCCGAAGACATTATTCAGAGAGCTAAACATGAAGCTGTGTCGAGGACGATCAAACGTACTAATATTGTGACCTCGACTCTTCTGTAGAATTTACGAGTAAGACCAAGTAATCACACCGTCACAAATCAAATCTAAAGGAAGAAACGGAACCGATGTTTGTGAAACTGACAAATGCTTTTTTAATGATGCTTGCCTCTACATAAAAAATTAATCTGAGTGACGAGAATTTCAAAACCAGAGATATCTACTTATCTAAAATGTGATTTCTCTCAGGAGCTGCAAAACAGGTACTTCAATGCAGATTGTTCAAAGAGCTGAGTAATATGGACTAATCATAAACCCGAAACTTCTACTTTCTCCACAAACGTTCATATGCTTCAGTCTGCGCGAGACCTGCTGCCAGAAGCTTTCTTCCCTCCATATTTCTGTTTTGAGAATGAGTAATACGCAATATCAACATTGGACCCATTTATGGATTCTAAAATTAGATTTGGACTGGTTCATGAGCATAAACAACTTACTTGCTTTCCTAGATTGAAGGGGATGTATTTGTACTTCATCATGTGTGCTATTTGGCGCCTCATTGTCAGAACAAACAGAACGATCCAATAGAAGAGTAGTATCGGCCAAAAGACGGGGATGTCGAAGAAAGAAAAGAATGTCATCACAAACGCTATGCAGAAAGCCTTAGTCATGGAGTACCTGGCAAAAGATAAAATAGCCGATAGATCAGACTTTAACACAAAAGAGTTACCAAGCAAGATGATGTCACTTCTAAATGTAATTCACTTGGATACACGTCTTCATTCACTAAAAATAGATATAAACTCACTGTCCCTAAGCTTATAGGCACTACTTAATTCTGGTCTCACTCAAAGATACTCTAGATCTCTCACATATGGCTTGTTTTGTCCATGGTTTAATGTTCAAATGGAATATCCATTGATTTGTGAAACACAACATACTATAGTGACACAATAGAATATATGTTCCGTGTATAATACTTTTTACCAGGCTTTAGATCTCAATCAATATTAGCACATAAACAGAGCTTGTACTATAAAATTACCAGAACTTGAACTCTGGAAGTCGACGGATGAATGGCTTGAACTCATCTGAACCTTTTGTGGGTAACATTGGACCATCAGACGCATCAAGCTCAGGATCAACCAGTGGTGATAAAAACCCAATCAGCAAGTTCAGAACATAAATCCCCAACGCATAAGAAATGATATAGAAGCCTTGAACATAGAAAACCCTCAAACAGTATATCCCTGCAATCACAAGAGTCCCGATCCACCTATTAACCGCGTGAGGCGTAGTCTTGTCTAAGTAATACTGATACAGCCTCCACGCCTCGTTCGCTCGTTTTTGTACAGGTGATGATGCCATTGAAGCAGCGTCACCTCCAACTCCCTCCATTTACACTAATATCCAGAAGAATCTGCAAACTCAACAAGATAATCTTACATCAACTAAACGATTTAAGAACCTATCCAGATATCTATACAACAATCATCTACACAGTTTTCATAATTCCTCTATATCTAATAGCAATAAGATCGTTCTTTACCTGAAATGAGACCACCCTAACATACACAAAACTCAAGAATGTGTTGTTATGCAGAATTATCAATCAAATTGAACAAACTCTGGAAAAATCTCATGATCTTGGACTAAATCCAGACCAAATAAGACCAAAATAGACTTGAATCGACTCACTAACACTAAATTTTTCAGTATCTAAGCAGAAATTTGAGCACCGATACTTGGTGATTGAAGAAAAACAACGATTAAGGTCAAGATTCGGAAGATCAGATCTCGAAATCAGAACTCTCTAGTTTCTATGGAAACGAAATTGCAGCAATTTCACATTCCGAAGCATACGAACACAAGAAGGTTATCGATCACCCGAGAATACGAGTTTCAAACAACGAAAAGAAATGTTGAATAAGAGGAAGATAGGATTAGAGAAGATGAGAACTGACTTGCGTAAGAGTTAGTGTTTCTTCGAGCGAGAAGGAGATTTGAGATGATGATCCTTGAACGGAGGTGAGGAAGCGAAGCAAATCTATCGGAAGAAGAACCGACGAAGGAAGAAGAAGAAGAAGAGTGATTGATAAATCTTGGAATAATAGATTTCAATGGCGTCACTGTATTTATATGAATTTTCTACTTTCGCCCCAAATTTTTAATAAGTTGTATTTAAAACCTTTATTTTGGTCCGTTTCTTCGCTCAGACACACGTTTAGTATTTTTTATTTTATTTTAACATAATGAAAAAGGACTAAATGGGGTTTAATTGGGAGTGAATTTTGATAGTTAAAACATTTTACCAAAATATTGCAATATATTAAGAAAAAAGATTATGTGTGATTAGATTATTAATTTAAAAATAAATGCTAAATACTAGGAAAAATATGGTGATAATTATGTGTGATTAGATTATTCCTTTAGTGAATTTATTAATGGATTTTAAAATGATAATTATATTTTTAATTGATTTAAAGGTGAAAAATGGACTGAGAAATCTCGGGGTAAACCTAATTATTTCAAAATTCATGTATTTGATTTTAAAATGATGATTTTTTTTTTCAATCTCATATTTCTTTGTAAATCAATTATAATTTAGAAGCCAATAATGATCAAAAAAAATTCAAAAAATCATAATTTTGATAAAAACTTGAAAAATAATATGATTTTTGAATGAGAAATTTACCAAAAATTCATAAACATTAGTTTGGATTATAGATACATCAATCATTTTGAACAATTTCTAAAATTTGAGTAGTTCATTAATTGTGGTTTAAAATTTTATGATCTAATGATAATTGAAGAAACAATAAATTCACCAATTGGTGACCCGCTTGACACCATTTAAAATACAAGTGGCGAGTTTGGTTCCATTTGAAATACAAGTGGTGCGCTTACTTAATCTTTAGAGATTTTTGAAAAACTAGGTGAAAATCCAGGTGACACCCGGTATATATTTGATGATTTAGTTAATTTAGTATAATCATCAAAAAGATAAAATGTTAACTTTTTGTTTTTATTATAGAGAAATTGTTAAAAATACCCCTTTTGGTGTGCCCCTTTTCAAAAATGCCCCTTTTAGATGTCCATTTTCAAAAATGCCCCTTTTTAAATCTGAAATTTTTATAAAGTTTTATTAGGTTTATAAGGTACTTATGGATTGTAACTACTACTTGAAGACTCGATCCAAGTATTTATAAGGTTTTATAAGGTGTTTTTAAAGGTTTTACAAGTTATTTTAAAGGTTTTTTAAGGTTTTTCAAAGGTTTTACAAGATATTTTAAAGGTTTTTAAAGGTATTTAAAATGCATTTATAAGGTATTTATAAAGTATTTATAAGATTTTAGATACATAGAAATGTAGTTTGTATATGTTTTAATAATATTACATACATATTTGGGTAAATCTTATATTTTAAGAGCATTTTTTATAAGGTTTTAAAAAAGAGGTATTTTTGAAAAGTAGCATTGAAAAAGTGGCATTTTTACAAAAGTCCCTTTATTATATGGTTAGGTTTTAATAGTCATTTCAAAATATTCTTGTTATTTGTCTAATGTAATTTTAGTGTTGTTATCAAATATCCATGACATGATAATAGATACATCGGCTTGTGTACTCATAATTGATAAAACCTTGTAATCTTATTTGATTATATATATATGATTTAGAAAGTACAAATTGTTTTCTTGATTTAACCCGTATATTGATTTACAAAGTGTAAATCCTAAGGGAAATAGAATATACGCGCGAGTGGTGTGACATCCGAATATAAAGGAGAATAAGAGGTAATCATGTTGGTTCTTATTCCTAAGGGGTGTGATTCTCTAGTGATGTCACCTTTGGTTTTAGGAGAAATAATTTTTACGAAAACCTTACAAAAGAAAATGACCCTAAAGCAGAGGAGGATATCAAAAATTAGAGCAAGAAACCCTAGAGAGCATATTGTCACCGCTTCGATTCTATTGAAAGATTGCTCACTAATAAAAAAAAAACTTTCTCCTTTTGATATGTAGATTTGTCTTAACTAAACAGATTAAATTTTGCTAAAACAATAATTATTAAATACTCTATTTATTCCATATATAGTGAAACCTCTATAAATTAATACCTCGTTAAATTAAAAAAAAATTTCGGTCCGAAATTGATATTTTGACCTAAATATCACCTTTTAAAATTTATAAACACGATAAATTAATAAAATTTAGTAAAATACGTTTGTCCCAATATTATTAATTTATAGAGGTTTTACGTGTATATATGCATAAACTTTTGATAATTTCATATAGTAATATATGCCTAAATGCATAAGCTTATTTTTATGTTTGTCAACAACATGCAACATTCGGGCTACAATCCAAGTAGTGATATAGTAATGACACTAGCAAAACCCACTAAACCTCATGTCTTTTTATCATTTTTTAACTTTTGTTTCATGAGTTTTCTTGTTTATTTGTGGAGATGGTATGAAGGTTGTAATGGTTCATAGAGGAACTTTAGGATATATTCCTCAAGAATTGGTCCCAAATAATATTTCTAGTAAATTGTTTCAATCAATTACAATAATCTCTAAATTAAATTACAAAAATTTCACATTTATTGTTAGATCGTTTTAATCTTCACCATCCGTTTTAGAGATGTTTTTGTATGAAGAGAGACATGATCCTTTATTAGAGATCATCCATCATTCTTAATAAAATTGCATTGTTTTTTTATTTTTTTTGGCACACAACTACTTCATTAATCAAATGTGGGTATCCATACAAGCTAAACGCAAAGCTTCTTTTGCGAGAGAGTCGGCCAACCGATTCTTATCGCGAGAAATGAAATTGAAAGCAACAGAACTGAAAAGAGAAGATAGATGAAGGATATCGTGATGAATCCCATGAAGCTCCGAATTGAGTGCTTTGACCAGTAACGAGTCTGAAGCAAAAGAGATGTTCGAAAAGTCAGATTCAATTGCAACTCGGACCGCGGAGAGGGTTGCTAAAGCTTCGGCCATCATCGGTGAGGAGATAAGGGGCAGTGTTGCAGATTCACGGAGAATCACAGTCCCTTGGGGGTTCATGAAAACCCAACCTAATCCTATCCTACTATCCAATCTCCGCGATGCATCTGTGAGACAGGTGGTTAGATTTGAAACAGGCGGAGGAGCCGGTGATGGCTTGATGGGGAAGGGTACGCTGAGCTTCTTGCCACTCTTTGGCTCTAACAATGGCCAGAAGGAGGCTCTCCTCTGCTTGGATCTGTTTGTTGCTGAAAATTAGTTGGTTTCGAGAAGTCCAAATTGACCAGAAGATCTAGGGGAGCAGAGGGCCCTCTCCAATTCCAGAAGGTAGAAGACATGTGAGCTTATTCGCCAAGGAGATACCTTCCTAGATGTTTGAGATGCGGGAAAGAATTAGGTGATGTTTAAAAGGTGATTTTTCCCACATAGTCTTTGCAAAAGGGCATTGGAAAAATAGGTGGATCAAGGTTTCCTCAGCTCCACAGTGGGGACAGACCACTGAATCATTAATTTTCCTGTATTTCAGGTTATCACTCACCGGCAGAGCATTCTGTGAAGCTTTCCAAAGTAGCATTTTTGTTTTTGGAGATGTCTTGATGGTCCAGATATTGGCTTTCCAAGTAGCATTGCTTATTTCTCTTTAATTTGCTATTTCAAGTACTTTTGTCTCTCTAGTTTGCTCTTTCGAGTTCTCTCTCTCTAAAAGTCTGGTTTTATTTTTAAAATATTTACTTAGTCATGTTTCATGAGCCAAATAAGCTAAGATATCATTTTGATGGACAACAAAACATCTCATCTTTTCTACACTCGACCTTTTAGCTATGCGTTGAACAAGAAAATGTTTCTAGCCAATGGCAAACAGAGCAATAGTCACCAGGATAGGTTCACCATACTCTTTTTCTTAATTTAATTTAAAATAAAAAAACAGCTTAAACCCTATTGAAAAAAGAAAAAAATGCCCTAGCCCAACTACATATATTTGATCCCAAAACTTTATTAAACAAAATCCACTTAAAACCTACTTCATCCACAAAACCAAAGGCCTGCAAAACAAAACAAATCAACGATGGAAAAAATCAAACAGATGCATCTATCCACAAAAGATTACTAAAGGATGCGTTCATACCAGCACTAATGCACCGGATCCCATCAGAACTCCGGAGTTAAGCGTGCTTAGGCGAGAGTAGTACTATGATGGGTGACCTCTCGGGAAGTCTTCGTGTTGCATCCCTTTTTAAACGGTTCGTACCCGGGCTCAGACATTTTTTCACATTCTCTTCATTTAAAAAGGAGCCTATTCGAGGCAATTGCAATACACATGCCCCCTTTCTCTCCCAAATTAAGAGACTGTGAAAAACTAAAATCAAAATTTTGATTTGCCCTCTCCGGCTACGGTGCTCCTCACCGGTTGCCAGAGAAGGGCACTCTCTCTTCTCCTTTTCTCTAGTTGTCTTCTCCGTGCTGCCTTTGTCGCTCTGGTGGTGCTCTGTCCATGGCTGGATTTTTGTCTCTTGATGGTGGTGAAGCGGCGAGAGGTCTCGCTTCTCGCACGGTTGATAATAGGATTTTAAGATCAATTATCCTAAAGCACTATCATGTCGTTGTAGTACTGAAGGTTGTCAATCCAATCAGGTGTGATGCAAACAGATGAGATGTGATCAGAAGTCACTAAGTCAAGCCAAGCAATTGCAGATTTTGGTGTGTCTAACAGTCCTAAGTGATCATGCAGAAAACAGAAAAATTGCAGAATTACAGAAATCACTCGACCACAACTGGCTGATGCCAGGAGCAGGATGTGATCGAGTGACTGGTCGAGTAACAGGCAGAAAGTATAACAGAAGTACTCGACTGCACAGTCTGTTGTCAGACACTGGGTGTGGTCGAGTACAATGGCGATAACATGTGAGAAATGTGAAAACAGGCAATGATAACAATAAATCAATAACGATGTAAATAGAGAAATCAAATAGACGAGAAATGCTTAAGGATGAGGTAATCGAATGGAGTGGTCTCCTTAGCCTATTCAGATGGTTAACAAAGCGCAATCAAGCTATCCCTAGACAACAGGTTCATCAACAGATTTATTCACTCCCGTGCAACAAATCCTCAAGCAAAGCTAGTCCAGACTAATTCCCATTAACGGAATCTAACTATGCAGGCAATACGATTCAACCTATTACAGTCAATAAACGCTCTAAACGGCCAATTCCTTGGGATAGCGACGCATATCTCTGGAACTAGTGGATCAAGCATTCCATCGAACACCTTCTGGGTGCGGGAATGCTTTGGATCGAGTTCCAGTTGATCAGAAAGAAGCAAGCAATAAACACAACTAGTCCAGAAGGGATTCAATTAATTCTAAAACTTAACCATCCTATAGACTATGGATCCCACAATCATTCTATCCCATCCTTAAGAATTCTATGTCACTACTCAGACAACATGCTCAAAAACATAATCGCGAATAAACAAGAAGATTGCATAAGTAAAGAGATAAAGAGTAGAGAAACAAGGTGATAGACGAAATCAAATGCGGAATCTGAATAACTTGGAAAAATCTCGAATTACAAGTTTGCAGAAGAAAGCGGCTAAGCAATAGAGTAAACTAGGTTTTTCAGAAATGAAAACTTGAAGCAAAACCTGGATGTCTCGGGACAAAACCCTCGAAGACTTAATTATACAAAACGAAGTAAAAACGATAAGAGATGGGTCTTGAATCCACTCGATTGGCCCGTAGAGTGATAATGGGCCGAAGCTAGGCCTTGTGATTGAGTGAAACTCCAGACCGCTTGCAAACACTTTTTCTTCTCCTCTTCTCTTCCTTATGCTCAGCTTGTCTGGTTGAGTGCGGATTTGAGAAGACTCTGAAGACGTGATCGAGTGAATGGTAGAGTGATGTGGTCGAGTGCTTCAGGAGTCCTGTTGCTGGTGTCACTCGACCACGAGGCCGAGTGGTGTGATCGAGTGACCTGGTCGAGTGAATGAGGAGGATGGCAGCTGCTGTCACTCGACCACAAGGTCGAGTGGTGTGGTCGAGTAGACCAAGAAGATGGTGGCTGCTTTCACTCGACCACATGGTCGAGTAAGTGCTGCAGAAGGCACTCGACCTTGTGGTCGAGTATACTATGCTGACTCCGGCTCGTTTCTTCCAATTTGATCGCCAACAGCTTCAAATCACCTGAAAACAACTTAGAAATGGAAAATGTATGCAAACCTATCCTAATCATGCAAAGTATGCAAGAATGATGAAGAATGATATAAAACAGTGATGAATGTTTGAAACTAGACTCAAAACAATGATGGATGAATACAGAAAATATGCAAATTATAGACACATCAACGGTGCAAAGGACAGTTTGCTAATGTCTCCCGACGAGCTCTTGATTTCAGTGCTTGAGGACGGTGCTATTTCAGAGTTCTTCTCCGGTGAGTGTGGCTTCAACTCTGTCCTCGTGCAGCGTGATTCTTGTCGGTTCTGGTGTTGGCTCAGGTGAGGCTTATGTTCAGTGGTTTAGCTCCTCGCGGCGGGCCCATTCTCCCGATCTGAGAAACCGGTGGTGCATTACCGTGTTCTTCAGTCATCGCTGTTGTTCCTTTTGTGGTTTGGGCTCACCAGTTTGTCTTGGCGAGACGGTTCTTCTCTTCTCGGTCTCTCTATCTTTTTTTTCTCCAGCACCAGCAGTGTCATCTCTGGATAAGGCGAGTTACTCCATTGGAGGCAAGCCTCGGGGTCACTTTGGTGCTCTAAGCTTGTTTGTTGCGGTTAGAGGCGTTGGGGATTCTTGTTTTGGTGGTCAACGTGTCTCCTCCATTGGTGGGTTATTGAAGGTGGTAGCTTCTTCAGCCATGGGTATGGCTTCTCCTTGTCCGTTTGTCTTCGTCCTCGTGGCTTCTTCTCCGGTTTGCTTTAAGGTAGAGTTTTGTTGTTAAGGTGTTGTCGGGTTCGGTACTTGTTGCTTTGGTTTGCTCTTGGTGCATTGGCTAGGTTTGTTGAGTGTTGAATAGAGGCGGCGATTAGGTCTAAGTGGCGTCGCTATCTCGTTGAGCTAGTGTAGAAGTCCACGATTGCTTTTTCGTTTTTGCGTTAGTTCTCGGAGAAGCTGTAGGCTTCTATCTTGAGGTTTTGAGGGCGGGCTTTGAATAGATATGCTCGTGGCAACTACGATGAGGATTCCAGTTCTTCGGTTTTGTGGCAACCACGCAAATTTCCGAGCTTCGCGGACTCGGAATCGGTGTTTTTCCTCTTGCATCTTGGCCTTGACTGCTTAGCAGTGATCTTTTGCAACTTGAGTTATAATGTTGTTTTTTATTTTCGTAGATTGCTTTAATCTGTTTCAAGTTTCTTTTGTAATTCTATCAAAAATAAAAAATGGTATAAAATTTAACTTTTTACCAAAAAAAAAATTACTAAAAACATAAAACATGTCCACAGTAATTGTTATATTCATTTATTTACTTCATTTTATTTTATACTAGTATAATGCCTTCATGATAATTTTATTTTATAATATTATACTCTAGACTAAAAAAAGTTCTTTTTCTAATTATGCATAGAGCATAACTTTAACAATATCTTGTTTGGAATTAGTTAAGATTATGGATAATCAAAGACAATTTTATAAGATGTTTCACCTGAATGCACGATAATTAAGAAATTTTTTTAATAACAAAATCTTTAATAAATGTGTATTAAAACAAGGAAAAAAAGAAAAAAAATATAGTGAAAATGCAAAAGGCCAGTTTAAAGAGTGGCCAACTTTATTGTTCTCTTAATCCACTTAAATAGCAATCATTAACAACTTTTTTTGGACGTATTATTAACAAGGATGTAGAATTAGTCTTTTGAAATAACTTGACCAAAATGCTTTTTAGTTATTTATTAAATTAAAATATATTAAATACTTGCCTAAAAATCTGAGAACATCTTATAAAATAGAACAAAAAAAAAAGGCTGAAACATCTTATAATTTGAGACAGAGGGAGTAACGTTTTATCACGATCATAGCCACGAAGACTCTTGTTTTCGTTTACAAGCAATTGAATGCCAAAAGTACACATAGCCGTCTTTGGAGACATGGACTCATATCCCAAATCCTAATCAAAGGAGTTAGTGCTTTGACGTATAGAAAACACATTAATTAAAGAAAGATATCTCTTAAACTTTATGGGCAAGAAGAAGATATTTATCACCTGACACACACAAACAAAAAATAATATCTAGATATATGTACAGTTATTGTTCTTGATATTATTGTGCCCATTTGCATTAGACATGGCAGAAAAATGAACACGTCATTTTTCAACTAAAATAACTTTTAAACTTATTAAAAAATTCGAAGATAAATTGTTATTCGTCGATGCTATACGAAATACGAGGTTTCTTTTTTAACACCTTCTTTGTACAATAGATATTGAGATTTACATCTTCTGCTCTTTCCGACAAAAGCCCATCTCTTCTGTCTTATTTTCTTCTGAAGGTTCTGTTTTTTTTTTCATCAAGAAAATGATACTAGTAAGTTTTCGTTAGCATTTCTTTTTCCTTTTTCTTTTATTTCGTTCTTTGGACAGTTTACCTCCACGTATTCGTCTCTGGTAATAATCTCCATCACAAAATCTCTCTTCTTATTATGGTTTTATTTTTTGTTTTTGTTTTTGTTGATATCTGATGATAAAGCTGCTCATCGATTGCATCGATTTGTATTTCTTTTACACATCAAATATGGATTTGTACTTGTTTCTGGGTTTTTATTTATCTGGTGTAACTGTAAGTATAATTTGTGGAATTTGCTTGTTCTTTTTGTAGAATTCACTGAAAAATAATGTGATCCTTACCATTGTTTGATAAAACTTTGTCTGCTCTTAGGTTTGATTTTCTTGTTTATTCCAAATTTTGAGGTTGTGTGAAATTGGTGAAGAGAATTTTGAGATTATCCACTTGTTTGGTGCTCATGAGCTCTAGTTTAGTGTTGTGTTTGTTTTGGATTATGGTTTATGGATCATTGTTGAAATAAAGGATTTTACTTCTCAGGTGATTTGATCAAAGCCTCTGGAGAAGATCTCTGTAGGTATAATGTCTGAAGAGGTTATGGTTTTGGGTAAGAGTAACAAAGGAATCAGCAAGACTTCCTCGGTCCATCCATATGAATCAGCTTGGTTAGGTCGTTGGACTCAGTCAGGTAGTGAAGTGAAGTTTCATGATGGTGAAGCCAAGTGCTCTAAGGAGTTGATTAGGCCTGAAGATAATAATAATAATGTAAAAGAGAATCATGGAGTCGAGGTCTTGCCGTTTCCTATGTTCAAGGTTTCTCAAAAGAGAGAGACTACTACTAAGCCGTCTTTCCATGGTGATGTGGGTTCAAGCTCGAAAGCTATGGTTAATAGAATGCCATGGATGTATCCGCAAGGAGAGAATTTCAGTTCGAGTAACCGTCTTGATTTCCCAGTTCAAGAAAAGACTACTCAAAACTTGCTAGAGTTGATAAGACCGGTGAGGATTTACGCAACGGTTGATTCAGTTAACTTGCCAGAAGAAGATGGTCATCAGCTGTTGAAGGGGTCGACGGTTTCCATGAAACTGAAAGGGAAGATTTTTGGTGGGTATCTTGATCTATTTCCTAATCAAGATCATTGCCATAATAAAGGAGGAGCAAGGTTGCAGTCTCTAGAAAGCTCAAAGGATACCGAAGAAGATGGGCCGAGAAAAAATGAATCATCGGCAGAAACTGATACCTTGGAAATGGATAGACTTCAGAGGATACATCTTTCCGGTATGTTTAAAACCTTAAGATACATGTTTTAAGGTCTTTTTATAAGCTGCTTGCTCTGAGTATATTTTCATACTTTTCTGATTCTCATTCTTCATGGCAGGCTCCATTTCTTCGTCATCAACTAAGGTATTGTTCAATCTACAGGTCTACATATTTATACAAAAAAAAGCGTCTTGTCAGTTGTGATTGCGAAAGATGTTGAAACCTTAATCATTCGGTCTTGGGGATTTTGCAGGGCAAAGGAATAAAAGGTGATTCAGCCATTCCCAGGACCGAAATACCCGACATGAATGAAGAACCACCTTTGGTTCCAGATAGAGAGAATTCAGTAGATGGACATCAGGGAGAAACAAGCAACTCGGCTACTCAAAGTATGAATGTGGAACACTTTCTGTCCAGAGACTGCAAACGTGTGAGGTTGGAACCAGAAGTAGAAGCCAGCAGTAGATGGGTCAAGCGTCTGAAAACAAGCGCCTCGACCTCCAGCAGACATGATGAAACCAAGAGTCTGAAGATTAAAGAAGCATCACTGGGACAAAAAGGGAACAATAACCTATTCCTTGAAATCTTGAAGTCCGGAATCAACAATCTCCAACCAAGAAATCAAGAACCCGTCGTTTCACAAAGCAATGATCTGAAACAGGGAGGAGATGACATTACACTTCTGCATCCATGGATCCAGAGATGGTGCAAGAAGAAATCTACAACAACAGATCAACCAGGAGGGCAAGAAGTTAGCTTTGAGCCAGAAAGCCAAAAGGAGTTCGAGAAGAAACAGTATCCGAGTATTGCAGCCATGGCATTGATGGGGAAGGCTCTGAGCGGTTTAAACCCATATGGTCTGAGAAAAACCAACTCTCTGATGGTCTGGAATGCAAGGGATTTGAGGTAGGAAAACAAAACCATCATCCTCATCTTCCCTTGTTTATCATTACAACGTAAAGTCAAGAACTAAATAGCACGCTTGCTACAACCAAATTCGTGTAAGATTTTGACAAGTTCTACGTTATGTGTCAGTCTGACTATTCTTATAATAGTTTCACTATATGTATGAATACCTTGTTTGCATCATAAATATTCCCTGTTAATCGTAACCGCATCAGTATTTTGATTTGTTACTAGCATTACCTATGCAACCAACATAACACAATTTCTGATTCCGTATGAACTTTTAAAACAATAGTTCCTTCGGATCAACGTCTAAATTGAGCTAAACATTGAGTCAAGCAAGACTAGAGAACAAAATGAAAGGAAACTTAGTTCCTTTCGCCATCAGATCTCTTATCGCCTTCCTTGCAAGCGACCCATTGATCTACATGACACACACACATACTCATCAGGTCACAAAACAGTAAACAATTGGCAGAACCAATACTGATGCAAATATATTAAATAACTATCCAAACCCATCAACCTAACACACTATAAAGAGCTAAGCAAGGAAAAAGTTGGAAACTTTAAAGAGTTGGTTACCCGTCAGAGAGAATAGAAGGAGTGATCAATTTAAACTTGGGAGCTTCAGACATAAGCTTGTCATAAGTTGCTTGATCAAACAGAACCATGTTGTTCACCTTCTCCTTTTGCTTTCCTTTGCTCCACTTCTGTTGAAATCAAGAAATGAGAAACGTAAACAAAACAAAACCCACCAGAGTTGGCTAGAAACCTAGTCCGAGGAATGTACGGATCAAGAAAAATGATGTGATTTGAAGGAAAAAGGACCTTCTTTTTCTGCTTGCCGCCACCTGATTTAGCTGGTTTAGAAGATGTTGGTGGAACTTTATCCTTCTTTGGTGCCTGGAATCAGCGAGAGAAACCATTTTTTAGATTTCTCATTCACACGAAAAACAGATATAGAGAGAGAACCCACCATTGAAGTAAATGGACGATGAACAGAGAGAAGCGGCGCTTAGAGGTGTCAAGCGGGCCTATAGTCCATGGGCTTTGTCCAAGTAGTCCAGGGCGGGCTGGCACATCATTTTTCATGTCCATAAAATAGCGGATCTCGCGGACAAGTCCAGGCGGATTACGGGTTATTACGGGTTTTGTCCGTGGATTTGCGGGTCAGCCCACAGACTACAAATATTTAATAAAAATAAATAATTAATATAAATAAATAATACTTTTACATAATTCTGAAAATATATATGTGAAATATATGAACATATACGAAATTTAATGTATAAAATTATAAGATTTACAAAGAAATTAATACTAAAAGTTTTTTTTAAAATTGAAAAATTGTTAATTTCAAATTTTAAAATTAATTTTATTTTTTTAATTATTTTTAAAATATTAAAACTAAGCCCGCGGGCCGGGGCTTAGCGGGGCGGACCTGGACATATCAGTTTTGCATGCGGTCCTAGCCCTTTAACCCATTGGGCTTAGCGGGGCGGACCTGGACATATCATTTTTGCCCGCAGTTCTAGTGGGCCGGTCCGTCGCAGTCTCACAAACTTAAATGCCAACGCGGGCCGGTCCTGATGGACGCGGGCCGGCCCAACTGACACCTCTAAGCGCTACAATGGAAGAAGGGAGATTTAATCCCTATGAGCTATTTTTGTATATAAGAGGACAAAACTCTGCGTATTCGTTACAAATAAAAATCTTTAAACGACCAATTAATTGCGAAAAAGACCCTCAATAGATATATCTCAACTTTTCATAAGGAAGATTAAAAAAAAAGGAAAAAACTTTTAACTCTTGAGTTAAAAATCCGTTGATTTCATATTTGTTATTAGCGGATGATAATGTATATTATTTTGTACTGTATATATGATCGAAGTCTAATGTAAAAAGATTTTCTGGATTTTTCTCGGGGAGTATTTTCATATCCGTATAATCCGTAAAATGTGTTTTCTGACCTGGACAAACACGTAGGATTAATTCCAACCTAAATTCCAAAAAAAAGTTAAATGAAAATTTTATATTTAGTGCCTGGAATCGTAGTTAAGGGTGTTAGTCGATCGTTATGGTTGTTGAGTCGGCGGATACGTGTTTGATGATCCGATACCCGAACGAGTACTCGTTTACTCGAGATTTCCCGACCGGATATTCGAGCTGGTAACCGGTTATCGAAGTTTACCCAAATACCCAAAATATTTTTATATATTTCGATTATTTTGTATCCGATTATACCCAAAATCTAGCAAAATACTCGAAATTTAACCCAAATCTCTGAAAATATATAAATAATTATGTACATACATTATACATGTATACGAGTTATACACGACCGAAACCTTTGCCGTTTTAATATTTTTCCATCACTTGGGTTTAATGGGCTGCAAATTTCATCTCAATAAAATGACTATCCCATCAACTGAGATCGGGGATGTTACAACTTCACCAACCCCGTGCTCAATTGTATTCGGCCGAAGAGCATTGATCAGGTCATACGAAAATAATTCTTTTATTCTGATGCATACATACGTACACAAACACATGCAAACATACATAATTTTTTAGGTTAAATATGAAGATGACCATACACAAACGGCCATTACCAAGGCTCAGTAAGGACAGTCATAATAACAGTGGCACGTCTTATATATGAATCCCTCGCAACGACCATAAGCATTAGGCCAGGGGTATGCCTGCTTACAGTACCTATCGCAATTGGCACATGATACACCAGAGTTCCATCGATTGCAAATCGTATTACCTTAAACCCAAGGAAGAAAAGAACAAAAATGTGATAATTTGGTTAGGCATTTTATAATATATGAGATGGCGAGTGCACACATGTTGCCAACCTCTAATTACCTGGAAATGAGAAGATGGGCTGCCGGATCCACGGACCATATCGTCTAGCTGGCGCCTGCTCATCCTCATTAGTAGCCCAAACAATTTCACCCTCCGAAAGAGGCTTAAAGTTGCGCTTCTCAGCTTTGATTACATGAACCCAAATGTATAGCCAATTTTATAGCAATGACATATATTGAAAAATATCGTGTATCTTATAGTCCTGTGCTACATATTGTGAATATCTCTAATTATCTAGCTTTAATGTGTAGATAGATATGTTTTATCACCGATAATGAGAAACATATATAAGAAATAAATCGGTATGAAATATGTAGATGTTAACTAGTTTGATATGGTACCTATTGCTGGAGAGAAAGCATTGAAAACAATTGTGAAAATCAAAGCAAGCGTCACCATTTCCTTAGCCATATCTTAGTTTAGGTCTTGCTTGATCTTGTTGAAACCAACCAACTCTCTGAGGGTATTTATAAGGTTAAAGTGTGAAAGAAAACTGTAGACACATATAGAAAAAAAACAAAATAGAAGATAAGAGAGAATTACAGAGTGTAGCTTCTGTGGATTATCGCCTATTGCTCTTAATATCTACATCACAAAAAATTGGTTACTTTAGTTAGGTACTTTAAAAAATCTGCACGTTGTACATGTCTGTAGTAAAAATATGTAGTACAGACATGTACAACGTGCAAATTTTTTAAAGTACCTAACTAAAGTAACCAATTTTTTGGTAATGAAGTATAAACTCCTAAACCGCTGTAGAACCCTGTGGAACTAGAGGATTCCAACACATGTTTAATGACAAGTTATCACCCACACAGTTTGGTAATTTGTCGGTAGACTACTTCAAAGAAAAACTGAAAAGAGAAGGATATTAGGAACACCCCCAAGAACTTTTCCGAGAACACAAATAAAAAGAAGAAACAAAAAAAACGAAGCTTTCTGTCAACGGAGTCGACACAATGAATTTTTCAGTAGTCTCCTTTTGTCGTATCCCAGCATTAGATGAGCAGTAAACCACTGTTTTCATCTCTATCTTCTTGTGAAGATCATAGCCTATGAGGTCAAAGTCAGCAGCCACAAAATAATCTATTTGTTTCTTCTCAAGGTTAATCTTCAAAGCCTGCAGTAGTGAGGCCACGGTGAAAAACATGTGTTAAATGTTACACTAGTCTAACTTAAGATTGAAAAAATTTATCAATTTATAGCCACAAAAGGGTATTTGTGTCGAGACACTAAGGGTCATTTATACAGAATAAAAACAAGCTTTGTGCCGTCGGAATCGACACAATCAATTTGTCGGTAGTCTCCTTTTGGTCATATCCCAGTACAAGATACAGCACTAAACCGCCATTTTCATCTCTATCTTCTTGTGAGGATCATATCCTGTAAGGTCAAAGTCAGCAGCCACAAAAGAATCGATTTGTTTCTTCTCCGGGTTTATTTTCAAAACCTGCAGTAGCATGACAACAAACAAAAACACAGTAAGGATAGGTGAATATGCATTCCGCGATGATCATTGTTAGCGATACTTACAGGAAAAGGTTTAGGTGGGTTCTGAAGTTGCTCTTGCAGAGGCCTTACATGAGTTTTGTACACATGAGCATCCCCAATAACATGGATAAAATCACCAGGAACAAGATCACACACGTGAGCCAGCATGCAAGTAAGAAGAGAGTAGGAAGCAATGTTAAATGGCACACCAAGGCCCATATCCGCTGAACGCTGATACATTTGACATGAGAGTTCCCCTTCTGCCACATAGAACTGCAAAAAAAAAAAGAGGAAAAATAAATCAAACTCATTGTAATTGTAAACGAAAGGATTTATAAGTAAAGTGCAATCAATTACCTGTGCAAACATATGGCATGGAGGAAGTGCCATCAACTTGAGGTCAGAAGGATTCCAAGCTGACATTATAATACGCCGATCATCAGGATTGTTCTTGATTTTGTCAATTACATCTAAGAGTTGATCAAAACCTTGACCAGTATAATCAGCGTGCATATCTGTGTACCTGTAAAACAAGATAAAGATGTTTCACCAAAAACAAATCCATCCAAACAGAGAATAAAAGCCAACATATGCATTAAAATGATACGGACTTAGCACCAAAGTGTCGCCATTGAAATCCGTATACAGGTCCAAGGTCGCCTTCCTCTCTCTCTGTCAGACCAATACTGAAATTATGGTGGATAAATCAGTGAGAAGGTCGTGACGATCAATTTTTCATTTACCAAAAGGATATTACCCATCGAGATACTCTCTTGACGCATTCCCATCCCATATGTGGATACCTTTTTCCTGAAGAACCTGCCGATGTATAAAGTGTATCAGAAATATAGCCAATTCAATTGCATAGTTTTAGAGAACAGCAGAGACACTCTGGCTTAATCATGGTGATGTAGTATCTCCTTTTTTACCTTTGCATTGGTTGAACCACTTATAAACCATAGAAGTTCCTCAACAACACCTCTCCAAAAAACTCTCTATACAACAGATGCAAACAGATTGCGTGAGTCTGAATATGAGATAGTGTAGATACGCAACTGCCACCAAATTAAAACCAGGAAATACAATTGAAGACAAAGCATTCTCCTTGAGTCAACGTGGAAAGTTAAGGAAAAGTGAGCATACCTTAGTTGTCAGAAGTGGAAAACTTCTGCGTAAATTGAATTTCATCTGTTTTCCAAGGAAATGTAAGAAGATCATTTAACCTTAGTAACCAACAAGAAAGATTAAACACATAGAGAGGGTTTTACAGCACCTGGCAGCCAAATTTTGATAATGTACCAGTCCCGGTCCTATCATTCTTCGCATTGCCATTAGAGATGATATCTTCAACCATATTCAAATACAGAAATTCCTCATGCTGATCAAATACCATCTTGGGAAGAAACAAAAACTTCTTCCCATCAAATTGAAGAGACTGTGACACATTGCTTTCATCAGTAGAACTTTTTACACGGACAAAAGTCGTGAAGCAAAACCGAAGTCCATTTTCAGTTACTGGAAACGATGAACACCAAGGCTGATAAACAGATGTGTCAACCGCAGGTATAAACGTATCACATTCAATACTTGTATCAATCTCAGTTAAATGGATAGCATCACAACTAGGCCTGTTCAATGCTTCCCTACACAAATACAACCAACCAACACTTAGTTCCAACAACAAGATTACAAATCACCAAAAGGGATGAGAAATCAACACATTACCTCAATATGTCACCACCTCCTATAACAAAAACCCTCTCAATAGATAAACAATACGGCGGTGCAGCTAACAAATCAAGAGCAGAATCTACACTACTGCAAGTGACAACATTCTCAGTGTTAGCTATATCAAACCCACCAGAACGAGTTAGAACAACGTTAAGCCGACCCGAAAGCGGCCTATGCTTAATTGGAATAGCCTCCCAAGTTTTTCTACCCATCACAACAGCATTTTTCTTAGAGGAATCTGAAGTGGTCAAAGTAATGTCTTTAAAGAACTTGAGATCTGTAGGCAAATTCCATGGCAATTTCCCATCTTTACCAATACCCATTTCTTTAGTTGCAGCAACAACAACTTGGTAAGTCCTTTGAGGCTCTGAAGCAAGTCTAGTAGTGTCATTGCCATTTAGAGTTGTTGTTGCCATGGTGGAAATCAAAACCTTGGAGATGATACTTGCAATAGATGGATTGCGATGGCTATTACAAAGCCAAAGCAGAGACTGAGAAAATCAAACACAAGAATCAGATTCAAACAATTGAAGAATCGCAATTTGAAACAAAGAGCGTAGACGTAAGCAAAAGGGTGTGAAGAAGAGATTAGTACTGACCGATTTAAAGGCGAAAGGAAGAATCTTTGAGTGAATAGGAAAATACCCAGAAGAGATTATCGAAAACCCAGAAGAAAGGTAAGGATTTGAGAGACGAAATCAGGAGAAAGTAGGTAAAGGCTACTTTTTTTTTTTTTGGTCAGGAGTTGAAAAGGACAGGAAGAGAGGATAAGCGGGAGACAATAGAGGGAAACGCCCGCCGATTTGTAAAACGCTCCAAGTAGACGACGACCGGACGACGTGTCTCTATCGTCCAACTAAAACAGAAGATCGAGTAAAAAAGGTGAGGGTCGGATTTTAAAGGTAAAACCACTATCCACTACTGCGAACCATTGTTGGAAAAATCGCTAGGCGCTAGTTGGGTGTTCGGTATGGGCCTAGCGATTAATCGGAAAATCGGATTAAAATCAAGAATTAATCGGGGATTAGTTTTAGGGTTATTTTAATATTTTTAAAACATATTAATCAAATATTATTTTCAAAATTGCAGTAAACACATATTGAGACAAATTTTTATGATTTTAATTACAAATTTATTATTTTTATTAAAATTTGAACATAAGTTATTGTAAAACATTACAAACTTCCAATTCAAATGATTGAATAACAAAAATAAAAAGTTTTTCTATACTTGCAATCTAAAAATAATCGGGGTATGTAAGATTAGGCAGGAAATAATCGGATTAGGCGGAAAGTAATCGGATTAGGCGGAGAGTAATCGGGTAACTGATTTCTTTAGGGGATTAGTCATTAATCGAGGCGGATAGGGTGGGCCTAACGATTAAGCAGAGAGTAATCGGACTAGGCGGAGATTTTTAGAACAGAGCGGTGGCTATGTGAGGCAAAATGAAACTTTCGCCTACGGCCAGTTTTTTTTGGAAAAATTGTAAAGACTTCATATACTTTTGTCTATTGTAATAATTAAAGGTTCACTTCTTTGTATTGAAACAACGTGATACTTATAATCTTGGGTATAGTTTATATGGTCTTTTAAATTAAAAACTGAATGAACATAACAAATCAAACCTTAGAAATTATAAATTACTATTACTAATATATTCATATTCTAAGATTAATAATGCCCGACATTTTATAACAAAGAAGGGATAAAAAATTATGTTCTAAACTAAATATTTTGTTTTATTTTTATTCTTTATTCATGTAGAATTTTAATTGTTATTTTAAAAGTTTTTGTTTTAAATACCGCCTCCGGCCTCCGTATCTTTAGGAACGGCCCTGGCTGCGAACAATGGTTTTAAATGGACTAAATGATTGCGGACACCAAATCGATTCGTGAACATGTTGTTTTAATTAAATGATTTTTTTTTTTTTCATCATATTAGTTTGTTTTGAATTCATCATATATTTTTTTTTTATGCATGTTGAAGTTAGTAATTAATATGGATTTTTATCATATTTATATTTTATAATATTCCCTCTTTATCAAAATAATATTTTTTGGTTAAATATACACTAATTAAGAAAGCTTGTAAAATTACTTTAACTTGGTAAGAACATGTGTCATGCACATATAAATTTAACGCTATTTAATTTTTTTGAATAGTTTTATGATTAATTGATTGTTACGTAGTATTAATGCATTATAGTGTAAATGAGGAAAACATAGTAAAATTCTGTATAAAAGATTACTTTATTTTTAAACAGTTATTTTTGGTGAAAATATCACTTTAAGTGATGCAGAAAGAGTATACATATAATTAAATAAGTTGTGAAAAATAAGATTAAAAATTTAAGAATTAAACGAGAGAAAATTAAAATTTGAAGAATATGTGGTCATTGAAATAGAACGGTTTAAGTTGATGCTTTTAGGACCACAATTTTTAGTTGGCTAGTCCTTTTTAGACACTTCTAAAATTTAGTTGGCTCTGCTAGATCTTTAAAGGGGGTTGTGCCACAAAACATTTCAAGTAGCACCGACAAAAGCTTCGTAACCTTATGAGCCTTTGGCTCGTTTAATGATGCTTCTTTGAAGATTGGTTTCTTCTCTGTCTACTTCGTTGTTTTTATCCTAATTTTTGCCAAGGAACTAAACCTTAGGTATTGCATATGTAATTCCTAACATTTTTATTTTATATGATATTTACCCACTTAGTAGAAAAAAACAAAAAAAAAAAACATTTCAAGTAATACTCCATTCAAAATATTTCTTTTCATGTCGTGGTAGAGTGTTACCTTGACGTGGTAGAAGTCATCATCTTCATAATGACACAACTCTTAGTAAAAATTGAATGGATTCTAATTTGACCACTCGTGCAAAATCTTATCAAAACCCACATTTTCTATTTGAGAATAATCTTAAGTTACCAGTTTAGTTTTTTTTTTGGTATTGCGACGAGCTGAACAAAACGAGCACACAACAAGAAGAATTCGTGCATCCTCTCAAAAAACCTAATCGCCGTTTTTCCTCTCTTCGTCTTGGTTTAGTTCTGACCGGCGCGTGGCGGCTCCGATAGCGCCGGCGTTGGTCCCTTGTCTTGTTTATTGTATTTGCTTTCCTCGGCTGTGAAGCATAGTGGTTTTGGAGAGGGTTTTGAGTTGTCACCGAGTCTCAGATCTGGAAAGGTTTGGCTCAAGAAGACCGGAATCAACGTGCCTCAAGGTCGATGGTGTAGATGGAGTCGCCGTTCTCGCTACAGCCTCTTTGTGTGGTTTCTCGTCTCCTCGCTGGTCATGTGTTTCATTTGTTTGGAGCATCGGAGGCTCGGTCCTTCTTCCTTCTTCGGATCTGAGCGACAACGGCTCAGTTCTCGGTGGCTTGGTAACTCTCTCTCTCTCTCGTCTCTCCTGCTTCGTCTTTGTTTTAGGATGGTCTAATCGTTGGTTTTGGCTGGATCAATGGATTTAGAGGTTCCTAATCTACGGGTTGTGGTACGATCTTGTCGTGCAATCCGGTATTAGGTCTTTTGTGGCCTCTTTTCTTTGATTTGGTTGTTTGCTCGGTTGGATTGTGTTTTCTTCGGAAATGTATCTTGGAATTTGCTTGTGGTTCGTCTCTTTTTGCCCTTCCATGGTGTCTCCAGGCTGAGTGTTCTTTCGGTTTCCTCATTTTGCAAATCACGGATGGTCCAGTTCACCCACTTGTTTGGGTTTCCTCCGGTTTTGCTAGAAGTTTGGTTTGGTCGTCTTCGTCTCACGGTCAGCAGGATCCTTTGTCAGGTTCTCTTAGTTTAGTTTATTGTTCTTGGACTGAAAGAGTTGAGCAAGTACGCTCATCATCCTTCGTCAAATTCTATGTCAGGTGCCGCTATTCGATCTTCTTTATCTCGGCAATTTCGTTGTTCTCATGTCTAGGCTTAATTGGGATTATCCTTTTGTGGTTTCCCTTGTTTCCGTAGATTGTAATTTTATTCGTTTTTTGTCTTAAAGTTTCCCTCGTTTGGGCGTAGTTTCCCTCGTTTGGGCGTAGTTTCCGGGTGTTGGGGTCGGATCCCACACATCTTCGGTAGGATCCACTTGGATCTGTCCACGTCATTATTACATAATAATCCTCTTGGATTTCTAGATGTTTCATTGCGAGAATCGAGCTCGACCTGTCGGAAGTTCGATTCAGTTTATTAAAGAGCTCGATCTTTACCAGTACGGAGTTCGCTCTTATTCAATATATAGTTCGCATAAAAGAAGGCCGAAGCGAGGAGAATATTGCTCGAGGTTCGCGGCAGCGTCAAGACGCAGGAGTTCGGAGTCAACAAGAAAGGGTTCGGAAGATCCACGCAAAGCCCAAGATAGTTCAAATTCAAGCCGTTTCGGTCAAATTGTAACCTACATGATTAATTCGGATCAATGCAATTATGAGCAGTAAATGACCGCATTGATCATGTTTTCTCTATAAAAACAACCTCAAACGCGTGTGTTTGAGGGGAGAGAACAACTTTTTCCTCTTACGATCAAGCAATTCAACATACTTTTTATTTTACAATTTTGCAAGGCTTTTTACTATTTTATTCTTTCCAAGTTCTTTCGCTTTATTTAGTTTCTTGGTTACTTCCCTTTTCAATTCCATATTTTCATTTGTTGATTTTAGAGTTTTCTCCACAAATATACTTAAAGACAATCGAGTGTGAATCCTACATCCACATTTTGGCGTCGCCTGTGGGGAATTACCGCAAAACTCTTTGATCTCAAAATCTCTTTTTTTTTTAACCAATAAACTATGGCTGATCAGCAAGCTTTGAGCAATGCAATTGCCTCGCTTACTCAGTCAACCACCGATCTGACTAATCAGATGAGTACACTCGCTAGTGCCAACGCCACTTTTGGTGAAAAGTTAAACTCAATCGAGCAAACTTTAACGAGTGTTCAAAATACTCAAAAAAATTTATCAAACGCGCAGAACGTTGTTTCAAGCCGTTTAGATAATTTGTCCTCAGCACAAACGACAGCGTATCAGCGCAAGCTGTTCCAAACTCCCACACTAAACAGATCCGGGAGCACTCAAACTCCTCCTACGGGCCGTCCTGCTAGTACTAGCAATCAGACAACCGTAGGAGATGGATCCAATCCAACCGGGGATGAAAATCCCCAAAATCAGGGCAATCCTGCTATTGACGAAGGACTCCTTATGGAAGAACCTGATGTCATCCTTTCCGATGATTTTGTCAAAGTTCGTCAAGAGCTTGATGAGATGAAGTCGAAGTTTCATCAGGCGACTAGTTCGGCACCTGAGATCGATCGAGTAATCGAAGAAACTTGACGAACACCCTTCACTTCGAGAATCTCGAACCTTCGGATCAAAGATTCTCGAAAGGTCAAATTACCAACTTACGATGGTAAAGGTGATCCTAAAAATCACCTCACTGCTTTTCAGATCGCTGCTGGCAGAATTGATCTAGAACCAGACGAGGAAGATGCCGGATATTGCAAACTATTCTCTGAGAATCTATCCAGATCGGCTTTATTATGGTTCACTCAGTTGGAGCCTGAATCTATTGATAGTTTTAAGGAATTGTCCTCCACATTCCTAAAACAGTATTCCATGTTTATGGAAAAGGCAACCTCTGATGCAGATCTATGGAATTTAACCCAATGTCAGAACGAACCACTTCGCAAGTATATCGCTAAATTCGAAGAAGTGATAGCCAAAATTCTTGGGGTATCACCCGCTGCTGCCCTTTCTGTTTTAAGGAACGGACTTTGGCATGAATCCCGATTTCGGGAAGAAATCATCGTCAATCGTCCGAGCACTATCCAAGATGCTTTATTCAGAGCTACTAATTGGATGGAGGCAGAAGAAGAAAAGCTTAGCCTCGCTAAAAAGCATCGGCCAGCAAAATTGGTTGTTGGAAATCCGACTAAAAAATTCGAACCAAAAGATCAAAAACGGTTCGGAGTTAATCCTGCTACTAATGTCGTAGGAAAATCCTCCCCAAACAAAGGAAGATACAATTCTTCTAATACATGGGTTAGAGATGAGAGTGCCTATTGCGATATTCATAGAGTAAATGGGCATTCCACCAAAGATTGCAGCGTACTCAAAAAGCACCTCACCGAACTGTGGGCAGCTGGAGAGCTCGCTAACTTCAATATCGGAGAGTTTGTGGAATCTTATCATAAAGAAAAAGAAGATTCCGAAGCGTCCAATCCTCCTGAAAAGAAACACAAGCCCAATGGGCCCGGAACTCCGAATACTCCTAAGAAAAGGATCGATGTTATAATGGGAGGATCCAAATTGTGCCGAGATTCGATCAGATCAATCAAAAGACACAAGAAATCAGCAGCAATTCAAACCGCTGTGGGTTTCCAGTCAAATGAACAAACACCTTCTATCTCTTTCGACAATTCGGACACTCAAGGATTAACAGGACCTCATGACGATGCTCTTGTGATAACTTTAGGTGTCTAATTGATACTGGAAGCTCGGTAGATCTCATATTTCTAAGCACTTTGCAAAGAATGGGAATCAGTAAGGCTGACATTATCGGTCCACCGGCACCATTAGTAGCTTTCACGAGTGACACATCTATGTCCTTGGGGAACATAAAACTACCAGTGCTCGCCGCAGGGGTTCCTAAAATTGTAGAATTTATTGTTTTCGACCGTCCGGCCGCTTACAACATAATTCTCGGAACTCCGTGGATTTATCAAATGAGGGCTATACCTTCAACTTATTACCAGTGTGTGAAATTTCCAACTCCTGCAGGAATTGGAACCATTCGTGGAGATCAAGAAACGTCGCGATCTTGCTACCTCATGGGACATCTTTTAAAGCTTAAATAGCAATTAGTGATAAACGCGAAGCAAGAAATCACTTCGTGTTACCCAAGTGGTCTCAGTTCAAGTGAAGTTACCACAAAAATTGATATTGATTTCGAATTTCCAGATCGAAAAGTAAAAATCGGTACTACTTTAGATTCAGAAATCAAAGATCAGTTGGTAACATTTCTAAAAGAAAACAAACATACTTTTGCCTGGTCGGCGAAAGATATGCCTGGAATCGACAAAAGTATCATTACCCATGATTTAAACGTCGATCCCAGTTTTAAACCAATAAAGCAAAAAAGAAGAAAACTTGGTCCAGACAGAGCTCAAGCAGTCAATGACGAAGTCGATAAGCTTTTGAAATTGGTTCCATCAGAGAAGTGAGATATCCGGACTAGTTAGCAAACCCCGTGGTAGTCAAAAAGAAAAACGGAAAATGGAAAGTATGTGTCGATTTCACCGACATTAACAAAGCTTACCCGAAAGATAGCTTTCCTCTCCCACATATCGATCGGCTCGTTGAGTCAACAGCCGGAAACGAACTCTTAACTTTTATGGATGCATTCTCTGGATATAATCAGATCATGATGAATCCCGAAGATGAAGAGAAAACATCCTTCATAACAGATAGAGGAATCTATTGTTACAGAGTTATGCCATTTGGTCTAAAAAATGCCGGTGCAACATACCAACGTTTAGTTAACAAAATGTTTTCAGAACATTTGGGCAAAACGATGGAAGTATATATTGATGATATGCTTGTAAAATCTCTTAAGAAATCCGAGCACATCACACATCTCGAGCAATGTTTCAAAATTCTGAACGAGTTCGGAATGAAATTAAATCCCGCTAAATGTTCCTTTGGTGTGCCTTCCGGAGAATTCTTGGGATACATAGTCACGGAAAGAGGGATAGAAGCTAATCCTAATCAGATTAACGCTTTCCTTACTATGCCTTCGCCAAGAAACATAAAGGAGGTCCAACGATTGACAGGCAGAATTGATGCATTAAATCGTTTCATATCGAAGTCTACCGATAGATGTCTCCCCTTTTATCAAATTTTGAAAGGGAACAAAAAATTTCGTTGGGATGATCAATGCGAAGCAGCGTTTGGTTAGCTCAAAACTTATCTGACAACACCGTCGATTCTCTCAAAACCTGAATTAGATGAGAAACTTTATCTCTACATTTCAGTTTCTAACCATTCCGTAAGTGGGGTTTTAGTTCGAGAGGACCGAGGTGAGCAAAAGCCAATTTTCTACATAAGTAAATCTCTTACTAGTCCAGAAACGAGATATACCATGATGGAGAAATTAGCTTTCGCAGTGGTCGTATCCGCTAGAAAACTCAGACCTTATTTCCAATCTCATCCTATAGAAGTACTAACTTCCCATCCGCTTCGCTCAATTCTTCACGGGCCAAGTCAGTCCGGAAGGTTAGCAAAATGGGCAATCGAACTCAGTGAGTACGATATAGAATATAAAAAGTCGAACTAGCGTAAAAGCACAAGTTCTGGCTGATTTTCTAACCGAACTACCATTAGATGATGGAATCTTTGTTGAAACGGACTCTACGTGGAAATTACATGTAGATGGATCTTCTTCTAAACAAGGATCCGGAATCGGCATTAGGCTCGAAACTCCGACAAAGGAAATAATTGAGCAGTCATTTCGGTTAATGTTTCCAGCTTCGAACAATGAAGCAGAATACGAAGCTCTCTTAGCAGGACTTCGGCTTGCTCTTGCGATTGGAGCAGAAAAAATAATAGCTTATTGCGATTCTCAGCTAGTTGTAAACCAGTTCGCTGGAGATTACAAAGCTAAGGCTCCTTGAATGGAAGCTTATCTTTCGGCTGTCAAAAAGTTAGCCGGAAAATTCAAAGAATTCGAATTAGTTCGAATACCTAGAGGAGAAAACACTTCGGCAGACGCTTTAGCTGCCCTAGCTGCTACCTCAGATCCTGAACTCAAACAAGTTATCCCCGTTGAATGTATTTCCTCGCGAAGTATTTCGGTTGAAGAAACAGAAAACGATAACATTTCGGCGGCCGAATACATCGAAACTCCAAAACAAAGTTCCGGAAATAGTTCACTTGTCATCACCAGATCACGAGTAAAGTCTCAAGATGACGAGCTTACTCCACCATTGGAACTTCCTAAAAGAAAGTCAAAAAGAAAGTTAAAGGATCAAGAGGTTCTCATTAAAGAACCATCTCGAACCGAACAGTCACTTACAGGTGATGTAGAGGTTCAGGAGACAATTGAAGATCTTGACATTCCTTCCGAACCCGAACCAAGGAAGTTTATACTCAAAGATAATACTTCCGCTAATGATTGGGGGGCTGACTGGAGGGTACCCATCAAAAATTTCATTCTTAATGGAGAACTACCATCTGACAAATGGCAAGCTCGCAAATTAAGAATCATCAGCGCTAAGTATTGTATAATTAAAGAGTCATTGTACAAGCGAGGCGTTAGTGATCCTTATCTTTTATGTATTTTCGGACCCGAAATTGAAATAGTGACAAGCGAGGTCCACGAAGGGCTTTGTGGTAGTCATTCTTCGGGGCGAGCAATGGCTTTCAAAATCAAACGATTAGGATATTTCTGGCCAACTATGATTTCAGACTGCATTGATTACGCCAAATGGTGTAAAAAGCGTCAGATGCACGCTCCTCTTATTCACCAGTCATCTGAAATTCTATCACATATATCCGCTCCATAGCCTTTCATGAGGTGGTCGATGGATATAATCGGTCCGATGTATCGTTCAACACGAGGCGTCCAATACTTATTAGTTCTAACGGACTATTTTTCCAAATGGATTGAAGCTGAAGCTTATATAAGCATACAAGATTCCGTAGTAAAGACATTCTTGTGGAAACACATTATTTGTCGCTATGGAGTTCCCTACGAAATAGTAACGGACAATGGTCCTCAATTCATTTCAAATGATTTTGAAGATTTCTGTTCCGCTTGGGAAATAAAACTTAGCTACTCAACGCCGAGGTATCCTCAAGGAAATGGACAAGCGGAAGCCTCTAATAAAACCATTCTCAGCAATCTTAAAAAACGCTTGAGTGCTCGAAAAGGTGGATGGTATGACGAGCTGCAACCTGTGTTGTGGGCTTACCGGACAACCCCGAGGCGGGCAACGGGCGAAACTCCATTCTCACTAGTTTATGGGATGGAAGCCGTAGTCCCGGCCGAGCTAAATGTCCCAGGTTTGCGCCGAAGCGAAGCTCCACTTAACGAAGAATCGAATTCTAAATTATCAGAAGACGTTCTCGATACAATCGATGAAAGGCGAGACCAATCCCTTATCCGACTTCAGAATTATCAACAGTTGACCGCTCGATACTATAACTCAAAGTTGAAAACAGACCTTTAAATGTAGGAGACTTTGTTTTAAGGTGAGTGTTCGATAATACAAAAGAAGAAGGAGCTGGAAAACTCGGTATTAACTGGGAAGGCCCTTATCAAATCGCTGAAAAAAATCTGAAACGGTGTATACCGTTTACAAGACCTTGATGGAAATCCCGTTCAAAGGCCTTGGAACATAATCAACTTGAAAAAGTTCTATTGCTAAAGCAAACACATTCGAACTACGATTTGGCTTGATCCCATTCTGGGGACGTAGGCAGCTCGCTAATCACGAGTCTAGCTATAACATAAAAACAAAAATATTATTCCAGTCATGGAATCCCTTTTTTTTAAAATTCGATATTTGAGCATGAATATAAAGATACGTTGCTAACAATGTATAAATAAATATTTCTTGCTAAGCTAAGACCGGATCTAGAAGGGTCTTGAATTACGGAACAACTCCGCTCCTTGACCAGTGAAGTCAACGATGCTCATAATGCAACCTGGCATGTTTCCGTACTCCTGAAGTCCTAGTTCGATCCAATTGGAAGGATGGGCTTCGAGGCGATGAAGCTCGCGAGATATGTCGAGGCGACGCTTCTCTAGCTCCATTATCCGTCTCCTAATCTTTTTCTTCTCATCTTCGAGCTCATCATGCCGAGTGATAAGCTGAAGAAAATAAAACGCTACGTTTAGCAATAACAAAAAGAAGTTAATCACTAGGATGGAAAATACCTTATTGATAAACTCCTCAGCCTTAACACGATCTTGAGGCAACAATCTCTCGATTAGAACGATCGGAACCTGAATGCTAGTTCCCTTCTTCAATATTTGTGAATCTTTTGGTTCGCCGGATTCTCCTGATCTTATAAGCTCGATGTTCGACGTCCTCGAAGGATCAACATTCATCACTTTGAACAAGTCTGAAGGATTCTCTGATGAGTTTTCTCCCTTGAACATTTTTGTAGAATTGTTGTTGAAATTCAATGACAGACTACAGCCACTTTATACTCGAAAAATTATTCGATTGCATTTAAGAGGATTAATTGACGATTTCCCAAATCTGAAATTACGACTTCCATGGAAAATGTAATCGAATTAATTACTAATTATATTCCCTAGATTAAACGCATTAAATGAGATTTGAATAAATCGGCGAATTTAGAGCGAAAGGGGAAATGTAGTTAATATTGTTGGTCCTCTAACCCAATAGTTTCTACATAATATTAAAAAAAAAAACTAAGAAGGAGGGGGTTCGCAGGAGGAACTTCGTCTGATGGCGAACCATCTTCGCGTTCGTCGGGTTCGAGGCTCCTTTGGTAGATATGCCAATGCTTCTTCAGGAACCTAATGTGTTCTCAAAGACAGCCGGGAATGCGGGCGATAGAATCAAATCCCCTCCTCTCCCAGTTGTGAACGTCCGACTCCAAACGTCGGATCTTCCTTTCTGCTCTAGCAATCCGATCCTCAAGGATACGGCGTTTCGCTCCAAGACGTTGCCTTTCAGAGCAGAGGAAAACGTATCTTTCCGTGATCTGTAAATAACAGATACATTACGAATTTATTGAGTAAAACCTTGAAACTATTGGTACTAGGTTCAAACCTGCTCCATGAATTCATGGCACTCGATCTGCTCCTCCCGGGACATGGAAGGAAGAAAACAAGGAATAGCCACCCCTTGTGGAGTGAATCCATGCCCCGACGGGAAAAGAGATTCACTTGAAGGGAATCGTGGTGAGTTAGGACCGGAAGGTTCGCCTTGGTGAGAAGTCATCTTTGATCTAAAAAAGAAGAATTACAAAGTTCTTTAAAAGAAAATCTATTGGAAAATTTCCAAAATCTAACTCTCCTTATATAGAAAAAATATGTAAGGGCACTCACTCGAGTATTTATTGAAAAAGAAAGTTAAACATCAATCTATTGATATAACTGTTATGACCTCTCGGTTCTCATGTACATGCACAAATAAGACCTACGAAATATAGGTTATTCAAGTATCACTTAACACCTAGTAGGCGAACTTAATTTCGAACTCGAAATTCGAAGAAAATCAATAAATGGTATCACACCTTTTTATCTCTTAGGGAAAGCAAACAGTTCTCACTAGAGATTTTCCTAATCGAACACATTTGAAATATCACAAAGTGTTCTTGTAAGCCGAGTTCTAACCTCGCAACCGAGAGACCGAGGAAAAATTCCAATGTTTTTTCTTTAAAAAAGGCAAGTAGGTCTGATCAGCCTATCTCTCCTATAATCCTGAACCACTTCGATTAGGAGGACTTTGCAAACCCTCCAGGTAAAATCGATGGTTTCCACCAAGATTAAATATTTCTTCCTAAAGAAATTTTAATCGAAAACCCCCTTGGGCAAATTATTCAAAACAGTAATAGAAGCCCCCCTCGGGCAGAAAATTTGGAAAAGAAACAAACGGCCCCATGGCCAACAAAGCGAATTTCATGTCTTTAAATTAAAGGGACATTCCCCACATAAGGTGAATGCAATCACCATCATTCATTCACAGGCGAACCGCCTTCTTCCCTTACTTGACTTGAGACTAGAGCACCCCCAACGTCATCGTCTTGAGTCACGAGAACCACTTCAGGGTTAAGCGAGCTAGCATCGAGAGGAGTCTCGTTCCTCGATTCAACACCGTCTCCCATAATCGAGGAGATGACAAGCCCCTGTTCAGAGAGCCCCTGAGCTCGTCCCAAGGAGATTCTGTCAACATTGGTTCTGAACTCATTAAAATGAGCGCGAGGAGAACCGGTTAACACCATCTCGTCCAAAGACGAACCAATGTTTAGTTCGGTCAATGGAGGGGAATCAGCGAATTCAGAAGCAAACTGCTGCAAATTCAGATATGGCTGAGGAGCGGTATTTAGCTTAGCTACAGTCTCAGCTAGCTCAGCACCAACCGTCTCTTTCTCTTCAGCCAAATTGACTTTTCCGTCCTCTATCTCTTTGATCAAATCGAGATTGCTTTTCATTTCATCGCGTTCGGAGTTGAGCTTGTTCCAAGCTTTGTCTGCAGCGATAAATTCCTGCACAGCAAGAAGAAACTTTTGCCCAGCTCCCTTAACTTCCTTCCGAGCATCATGAGATATTTTGCGAACATCGCGATCTTTCAGTTCGGAAAGAGATTCATTTTTGCGTTCGAGCTCCTCAGCAGCTGCATTAACCTTATTAAGCTCTGATCTCAGAAGCTCAATCTCGCCTTTTGCGAAGTTATGATCAGCAAGGGCAGTCTCTAGCTTTTGCTCTGTCTCAATCAAATTCCTCCTTGTCTCCTCGCCGGATCTTTCGAGTCTCTCGATCTCTTCTTGGTGAGCCGAGTCAAGGCCAGCAGATTCCTGCACAAGCCGACTGGAAGATTGCAGTTTTTCAATCTCTCCTTCAGCGGCAACAACTTTCTTGGAAACTTTATCGAGCTCCTCTTCGTAAAAGTTCACAATGCCATTCACATCCAAAGTTGCCTAATAAAAGAAGTTTCATCGTTTAAAACAAAAAAATATATATATTTTCTTTCAAAATCGGCTGTTTGAAGATGCAAACAGTCAAACCTGGGAAGAGTGAAATGAATGACTGATGTACATCTTCTTGATATCAGGCTTCCACCAATCAAAGGATGGAAGCTTCTTCCCAACACGGGTGTGGAAGCACCTAAACATATTCCCGATCTTCTCTTTATCTGGAATAAAGTTAGTTGTGTGAGAATTGAGTTTTCTTTAAAAGAAAGAATCTATTAATCTCAAACAACAAAATAATAGTTAAAGGTTACCGGCTTGAGACGAAGCTCTGGCAACCAGTCATGAGTTCGAAGATGATCGAACCCTAGAGGTATTGCCTCGGGGGCACCTAGGGGGTAACATTCCTGAACCCAGCGGTTCCTTCAAAACAATTCCTGAATCAGGATTTGCATCCTGAGTTTCAGCAGGTTCAGGAATTGGAAAATTCGAAGGAACGGCTCTGCCCTTCCTTGTGCTCTTGGGACGTCCCTGGGGCAGGGGTCCAAGTTCCTCAGCCTTCCTCTTCTTCATAAGAGAAGTGTCACTTGCAAGGCCTTCCTCCTCAACGGTGGCAGCGGCCATGTTGTCTGCTGCTGGGATGGAGGGAGAAGCATTGATCACAGCAACCGCCATTGACTTTGAACCTTCAAGAGATCCATCGTCAACAAGGAGAGTTTTCCGGTAGACTTTGTCGTCCTCGGTGGAAGTTGTGTTTTTCTTGTTTTTCCCGATTAGGGAAATCTGATCTTTAACCTTTTTGTTTGCCTCTTTGATCTTTCTCCTGTCTCGGGCATTCAGACTCGAGAGATCAATCTCAGCAGGAGGAGGGTCGACGGGGCGAGTAAGTGTCATTCTGACAGAAAATCCAGCGCCGTGAATTCTTTCCAGAGTAAAAGAATTCCAATTAACTGGCCTCTCCAAGACGGCCTTGTAAAAATTGAGAAAATCGACGGATGGAACTGGTCGAATCTGAGGACCTGCGAGAAAACAAAAAAAAATGTTGAAACACAGGTTGAAATAACAAAGGGAGCTTATTCAGTTAAGTCCCAATTTCTACCCAAATTCGATGACCAGTGAGTTCGAGGGAGTTCGGAAGAACTTTGAATAGAAAAATTATTTATGCGGAAAAAGAACCAAAACTTCCTCAAGGCGGTGTCCTTTAAAGGAAGGCCATCAATGAGATTCCGATCCGCATTTGGATAAAGGGTATAATACCCAGAAGTTCGGGATTCGCGAGCTTGGAAAAGTTCTAGGAGTTCGCAAAGTCCCAATGAGTAGCCCGCCTCCGCCGCAACAGTGAGGGTACACAAAAGATACCGGAGCATGTTGGGCGACATCTGGGAGAAAGCAATTCCCAGATTGTTGAGGTAGACGAGAAGCACCCCAGGAAGGGGAAGGAATAAGCTGCACCCTTTGAAATAAATTTCATAGGCGCATCAGTAACCTTCTCGCCCCGACTCTGGAGACTCGAAGGGCTCCAGGACTACCATCTCTACCTCATGGGGGATGAGACATAATCTGAGAAGATTGTTGAGAGAATCGATAGTTGATTCACTCTGGGGGTGAAGATCAAACCCATCTCCGGTTTGAATCTGGGATTCGGACCCTTCACCCATGAGAGCTTCGAGATCGTCAGCCTCGTATTCGCAGAATTCGGAAGAAAGGTTCGACATTTTACGAAAGGGATTTTTTACCAGAAAGAAAACAGTGACTTCCGTAATAAGAATGAAGGTTTTCTAGGTAAAGAAGATAAGATGGAAAAGTAATATTACCTCTTAGAACCCTAAAGTATGATGAAAGACCGCCTCGAGAATATTGGGAAGTGGGACAGTTTTCCCCGTGGTATTAATATAAAATTAAGAAATTAATGATGATGGTTGTCAGGAAAATCAAATCATCTGATTATCTGAGATCAGCGTAATAGCGAAAAACATGGAATAATTCCGGAATGTTAAAGATCTCGAGTCATTAATTACAGTTTACTTAAGTCTTCCAAGCCGAGCATTCAGCTCGCAAGACTTGGGGGCTAAATGTTGGGGTCGGATCCCACACATCTTCGGTAGGATCCACTTGGATCTGTCCACGTCATTATTACATAATAATCCTCTTGGATTTCTAGATGTTTCATTGCGAGAATCAAGCTCGACCTGTCGGAAGTTCGATTCAGTTTATTAAAGAGCTCGATCTTTACCAGTACGGAGTTCGCTCTTATTCAATATATAGTTCGCATAAAAGAAGGCCGAAGCGAGGAGAATATTGCTCGAGGTTCGCGGCAGCGTCAAGACGCAGGAGTTCGGAGTCAACAAGAAAGGGTTCGGAAGATCCACGCGAAACCCAAGATAGTTCAAATTCAAGCCGTTTCGGTCAAATTGTAACCTACATGATTAATGCGGATCAATGCAATTATGAGCAGTAAATGACCGCATTGATCATGTTTTCTCTATAAAAACAACCTCAAACGCGTGTGTTTGAGGGGAGAGAACAACTTTTTCCTCTTACGATCAAGCAATTCAACATACTTTTTCTTTTACAATTTTGCAAGGCTTTTTACTATTTTATTCTTTCCAAGTTCTTTCGCTTTATTTAGTTTCTTGGTTACTTCCCTTTTCAATTCCATATTTTCATTTGTTGATTTTAGAGTTTTTTTCCACAAATATACTTAAAGACAATCGAGTGTGAATCCTACATCCACACCGGGGATATCTTTGTTTTCCGCCCGCTTAGTGTTTCAAAATCGTATTCCACCCTTGTTTTTTACTATCTTTATAATATAAAAGAAAATTTCTAGAGGAAAAAAAAAAAAAAAAAATACAAAACGAGCAAATCCTTTATTGGAGACATTGTCCTTATTCGTTCGCAATCATAAGTGGTTGTCTGACCATACATTTTAACATTTTTTCAAATGGGATACCAAACCCGACATAATACATGAATTCCTATATTCAAAACACTTGAACCGAATCAAGAACCGAATGGATATCCAAAATATCCGAACTACAATTATATATCTAAAAATATTAGTTACATTTAACTTCAAATAATCTATACACTCAAAATTACAATTATGAACCAAAGATATTAGTTATTTTTAGACTGAAATAAATGAAATATCTAAAACTCTTTAGTTATATTTGATAAAATTTAACCAACGTTTTAGTTTTTTTTTTCTGGATATTCCGAATATTTTTAGGTTATTTTAGATAGTTTGGGAAAACAACTACCAAAACCAAATAAAAAAATTCTGGTTCTAAGAAAGTTTTCTGTTTAAAGAATTGTATCGACTTGAACCGAGAAGGAACCATATCGAAACCAAACTAAAATTATAAAATTCTTAAATGGATCTCAACCCTTCTAACTAAATTATCCAAAACCGAAAAGAACAGATCCAAACCGAACTAATTAACCGAATGACGGGAAAACGGCTTATTCCTCCCCAAACTAAGTTGCTATGGCTAATTCATCCTTGAAACTTTGTCTCGTGCCTAAACCCACATGAACTAACATATAGTTTGAATTTCCTTCCTGAACAAAACAAATCCGGACTAAACCAACAAATCGTTAAACGCCGTTATTGTTCCGTTAACGAACATCTGACTAGGATGCCACATCATCGATCTAAGCGACCGTGTTTTGAGAGAAAAACGGCATATTCCCCCATAAACTAAGTTGTTTTGGCTAATTCATTCCTGTAATTTTATCTCATGCCTAAACCCACATGAACTAACATAAAGTTTAAATTTCCTACATGCACAAAACAAATCTGGACTAAATTGATGGATGAATAACCTAATTGAATAGACAGTTGATGGGATTAAAGGTGTTTTAGGGTATGAATTCTAGGATTTTGATGAATTTAGATGTGTACTTGGATTATGATGTAATTTTTGATTAATTATCAGAATACGATGTAAATTTTGGATTAATTCTCGGATTATAATGTCATTTTGGAATAATATGATGTTCTATTTCAGATTATATTGTTTGCTTGAACAAGTTTAGTTAGAGCTGGATTCAGCACCTCCGAATCCACCAACAAAAATAACAAGTGGGAGATACGTTAGGCTCATAAGCCGGCCCGCGTCCATCTGGGCCGGCCCGCGATGGGCATTTAAATTTATGAGACCGCGGCGGGCCGGCCCGCTAGGACCGCGGGCAAAAATAATATGTCCAGGCCCGCCCCGCTAAACCCAACGGGTTAGCGGGCGGGCCCGCGGGCTTAGTTTTAAATATTTTAAAAATAATTAAAAAAATAAAATTAATTTTTAAAATTTGAAATTAACAATTTTTCATTAAAAAAAAACTTTTAGAATTAATTTTTTTGTAAATCTTATAATTTTATACATTAAATTTCGTTATATGTTCATATATTTCACATATATATTTTTAGAATTATGTAAAAATATTATTTATTTTTATTAAATATTTGTAGTCCGCGGGCCGGCCCGCAAATCCGCGGACAAAACCCGCAAAAACCCGCAATCCGCCTGGGCTTGTCCGCGAGGCCCGCTATTTTATGGGCATGAAAAATGATGTCCAAGCCCGCCCCGCTGTGGGCTACTTGGACAAAGCCTGCGGGCTATCGGCCCGCTTGACACCTCTAAGCGGAGCTGGCTCTGAATCAGGACTAAGTCATTCGAGGATCTCGGCAGGGACCTTTGATGTAGGAGAGGTTAATGCGGACCTCAGACCGAATAACCTAGGAAGAGTATCTATATAAAGACGAGAGAAGACCTAGAAAAGGCATCGCCTACTTACTGAAAAAAAAAACTCACTACTACTTTATGCACTTGTATTCACAAGATCTAGTTAGCTGGTCATTAACGAAACAGTAACATCGTTTAGCAGCTGGTCATTAACGGAACAGTAACATCGTTTAATGATTTGTGGGTTTAGTCTGGATTTTTTTTGTTTATGTAGGAAATTCAAATTTTATGTTAGTTCATGTGGGTTTAGGCATGAGATAAAATTACAGGGATGAATTAGCCAAAACAACTTAGTTTATAGGGGAATAGGCCATTTTCTCCCCAAAATACAGTCGCTTAGATCGATGATGTGGCATCCTAGTCAGATGTTCGTTAACGGAACAATAACGGCGTTTAACGATTTGTGGGTTTAATCCGATTTGTTTAGTTCAGGGAGGAAATTCAAACTCTTTGTTAGTTCATGTGGGTTTAGGCGAGAGACAAAATTTCAGGGATGAATTAGCCAAAGCAACCTAGTTTAGGGAGGAATAGGCCGTTTTCCCACCGAATGACCATGCTTAATTTGATTTACTTCTCTTTTCTTAAGATACAATACTTCTGTTGATGTAAAATATGTTTTAATCTCAAAGTGGTGGGCTGCACTTAGTCCAAATTGGCGTCATACCCTCTTCTATTAATTATAGCATTTATTGTACAGATACGAATCGATTTCGATAAATTTTAATATTATATCACACACATGTCCATTTCCATATATTAAGAACAAACCAATTGTAAAAAAAAAAAAAAAAAAAGAACAAAAAAAAACCACCTTTGGACGTTATCAATAGCTTGTTAAAATGAAAATCAAGTACTTTTCTCTACATGTCTTATTAGTTTCAGATGATCCTCACCATTATCATCTTTCACCCTACCTTCCTCTCAACAACTCATCTCCAATAAGGTAAGGAAAAAAAAAAACTCTTATTTCTTATTTTGGTTTCTCTTTTACTTGATCTTTTCACCATCTATCTACCTTTCTCCGGGATTTCAATATGATGAACTTATTGCGCTATTCGCGTTTCATTACTCAATGATATGAATAATATGGCCAAATCTTATTTGGAACCATCTTAATTGTCTTGTAGGTGTTTCATCAAAAGTCAAAACCATGGCTGACACCAAACAAGGTTATAAGTCAATGCATTTACCTTAATTAGCCATAGATAGAAAATTTCATCTTGTCTAAAATGTTAATGTAAACCAATCATGTGTGGTTTAGATATGGAGAATTCAGATGATGGGAGAAAGATAGTGAAGATGAGCTCGCTTAAACAGAAAGCGATAAGCGCATCAAATAGATTCAAGAACTCGTTCAAGAAGAAGACTCGGAGGACCAGCAGCAAAATCGTGTCCGCAGCCAATACAGATGACATCAATGGGGAGGATTATCTGTCTGTGGAAGCGTTCCGTCAAGTCCTTGTCCTCAACGACCTTTTGCCCTCCAAACACGACGATCTTCACATGATGCTCAGGTTTGTATATTTTTCTTTAAGATCCCTATTAGGCCAAATAATGTGTTGTGTTATGTAATAAAATATCATGAAGTCAACTAATGGAAAAATATATATAATCTGGTTTGTCATTCTGAATAGTACATCAAAGACAAACAAAAAAAATATATGAAACTTTCACCTACGAATGATCCAAACGAACATTTTATTTGATGAGGAGATAGTTTAATAGATGACCAAAATTTTGTTGTCTTAACATTATAACATTTCATAAAATCTTCATACCTTAAAACAATGTTCCTCTCTTACAAGTGAATCAGGAAATGTTTTACACTTTCATATAAATACATATTCATGACGAGTTTATAGCAGTATTTCTTAGCTAGCTAGCTAAGAAATTTCGCTGCTATGTTACTTTTTGTAGATGATTATTGCAATTGTAATATTATGAGTTTTGATGTTTATTATCTACATAGA